GAAAAGGATGTTCCTTGAACGTCACCTGGAGAACACCCTGAAATGTTTCATCCCCAACACCACGGACCCCAACCAGGTCCTAGAGCTCATCCCGCTCTGCAAAAACTATGCGCGGAAACTGGAGGTTGACCAGTTCCTGCCACCATTGGAAGTGGATCAAAATGAGAAGAGGGATGACCTCTCTAAGTCAGAGAGTGATATGGAATTCAGCGAGGCCTCCGTGCACCACTACGACCTGAGAGTCCTCGTTACTGCTCTCCCTCACCTTGAAGAGCTTCATCTCACTTACGGTGTGAAGGACTGTGGCATGAACTTCGAGTGGAACCTCTTTAACTTCACCTACCAGGACTGCTGCAACCTGTCTGTCGCTGTGAAGATGTGCCAGAACTTGAAAGTAACGCACCCCAAACCAAACCTTCCTCCCTCAGCCCAATCTTCAAATTGCTTGGGGATAGAAAACCGGGGACCATTTTTACTTGCTGGCAGCACCCTTCCTTTTGCAAGTTGCAGTCTGGCAGAGTGCAGAGATGTTAACTTGCTGGCCTTGTGCCGAGTACCTTGTTCTGCATATGTCCTTGTTAGAACAGGTTGTCAGAGGGTCGGTGAGAAAAATACTCCCACAAAACATGTTCCCTATAGCACAAGAGAAAGCAACACTCCTGCTCTGAGTCCTCACACAGTTCTGTGAAGGAGGAGAGAAAAAGCCAAGAGAGTTTTTCATAGGGAGTTTTTGGTAGTTATGCTCAGTAAATATGTGTCAACATGCCCCAGCGGAGCAGAGATGCCTAAGAACAGCATGGGGTAACACTCACATTTGCCTTAGGGTGATGAGGGGTTTTCCTTCTGGGCAGTAACAGCATCTTCAGTTCTGTGGCAACTGCAGCGCAGATACTCAGCCCCTCCAAGCCACCAGCAGTCACTGCTGGCCGGAGTGCAGCCAGGGTGAGCTGGCTGGGTGCTCTCCCCATGGATTGGCATGCTTTGGGAAATAGTTGTCTGCTTGGCTTCCAGAAAAGAGATTACCTCTCCTGTGGTGAGGTGCCCTGGCCATGCAGGCATTGCCCTTCACAGAGAGTGATGTGGTTACCATGGGTGCATGTGCTCATTCAGTGACTGTTCAACTGTTGAGTTTTGCTGTTGTTCTCTGCAGGCATTTTGGTGGCCTTATCTTGTTTTAATTTTGCCCCTTGTTAGAGATCACACAGAGCCAGAAGAAAGGAACAGGCACTACCAAGAGATGAACCATTTCTCCCTAGGATAAGCATGGGACATCAATGGCATACCCAGTCTGCTGGAAGTATCTGGCCACTCTAAAAGCAACTACTTGAGCCTACTGGCTAAAGGTTTCTGTCGTGAAGGGAGATGAATCCTGTCTGGTGGACCATAGGCTTAACTCCTCTGAGGTCTTGTACAAAGCTCAATCCAAAGCACTGAATGTTTTAGTGTCACTGTCCTTTATCCCCACAGGTTTTCGAGCTGACACGAAGCAAAGTGGATGATGACAAGACCAGGCTGCTGATCCACAGCTTGCTGGATCACCCCTGCCTGGTGGAGCTGAACTTGTCCCACAATCTCATCAGGGACAAGGGGGCACGAGCTATTGCCAAGTTGATCAAACACAGCAAATTAGAAACCCTCGACCTGTGTAACAACCAGATCCATGACCTGGGGGCTCAGGCTCTTGCTCAAGCCCTGGCAGAGAGCTCCACCCTGACCTCTCTGAATCTGCGCCTCAACTGTGTGGAGGACAAAGGTGGGGAGGCCATCGGCCGTGCCCTGCTGACCAACGCCACCCTGCAGTCTCTTCACCTGGGAAGCAATAAGCTGTCAGAGCCAACTGCTGCACTTTTCTCCCAGGTCCTGGCTCAGAACACCACCCTGACGAGCATCAACTTCTCATGCAACCACCTGGGGCTGGTAAGAGAAAACCCTTCTCCCCGCAGTTTCTGAGCCTGTGTGGTGGCCTTGCAAAGCAGAGGCTCAGCCTGCCCTGCCTTGAAGCCACAGGGGCAAATGCATCCCTCACTTTGCAGTCTTGCTGCGATAAATATTACTTGAGAGCACACAAGAGACTCTAGCAGACAGCAGGAAGAAGGATATCTTCCATGCACACACATCCATTTCTCTCAGTCAGCTCGTTCACAGGGCTGAATCTGGCTTCCAGGCTTCGTGCTTTTGGGCAGAGAAGGCTTTTCCCCCAGGAAACTGAAAACCAGGGAGTATGCCTGCAAAAAATCACAGCCGCTTCACACATGTGGGAGTAGATAATAATGATAGGTGGTATGAGATGAGGGCCTAATGCATAGCCTCTGTGCTTTGGATCTGCTGTGCCATCTGTCACTCAGTAGCACATAGATAGTATCACCCTTCCCAGAATCTCTCCCGTCCATCATGCACTCAGAGGAGACTGTTAGAAAATTGGCTCGGTTGTCAAGCTCCTTTAACTCACCCTGCAGCTCTGGAATGCTGTGGTAGGTCAAAAGTGCCACATCTGGGTGCTTGTGAATGGCTCCTAAAACACAGGCTTACATTTTCAAGACAGAAGAACATCCACAAATCTTACTACATCCCTAAAAGCTGCAGTATGCAACATGCCCACAAACCAGACTGCTTCTCTTCTGCTGATTAAAAAGAGCTTTAGAAATCTGAAACTAGACAGCCAAATGCAATCATGCTGGCTTTTAAACTTTCTGCACTGCCTCAATTTTTCTCGCTGTCACAATAAAGAGACAGCAAGACCAGCTGTCCCTGCTAGCAGGAATATTGGCATCAATGTGTTTGACAACGGTTTTAAAAGGATTTGATGGCAGAAAACCTTTTGTGAGTTCTGAGTTTTATGATCCTGGATGTGGAAAACCATTTGAGTTTAATGATACAAGGGGGCAAAGGTTGGAAAGGATAGAAGGATTTTTGCTTAGTAAATAATAATGTCTATACTTAGCATCTTCCTTCTCATGAGCTCTCCTGTTACCCATTTGTGAAGCTCCACAGCAGCCCAACAAAAGGGTTTGTGGTATTATCTTTGGGGAAATGGGGGGGTTTGCTAGAGATGCATCAAATCCTGACCTCTGTACCCCATTAAAAAGAGACTCCTTCCCTTTTTGTTCCAACTTACTTGGCAAAAGGTCTAACAGGCAAGATGCTGGGATGAAGGGAACACCTGCATGAAGGAGATGGGGACAGGAGGTGTATTTGTTAGCTGAAAAAGAATAGCTGTGGGGGAAAAAAATCAAATTGTCACATCCCTGAAGACAGTGCTTTAGGTAAAGGAGAGCAATCCCCCAAAGTGAGTGGCCTCCCTAAGGCTATCTACACTGCATTTTCTGTTCCATGCAGGCTGGATTTCAGTTGCGTGCGATGTTCCCCTCATCTCACCAAATGGAAAATGGCATCCAGACAGGACACTGCCAGCACTGCGGCTCTTGGCACTGCCAAGATGAGGAGCAGCACTCTAATAACACTGCCATTTATCCCCAGCCAGCAGTGTGCAGGGAGCTGGGGGACAGGGGAGAGCAGAGACTCCTCTCATGGTTATCATCACCACCGTGCTATTAACCAGCCTGAGCTTGAAGACTCCTGACATTGTACCCAGAGGGAGTCATTAGCATATGTCATATCACTGAGTGCTGCATAAGGTTATACTCTTTCCCTGTACTTCTCCTGTGAGCAACATTTCGGGCTTGGGTGAAGGCCTTCATCCCTTTTGGCACCATCTTCCCACTCACTTCCCACTGCCGGCAGCTGAGACTGCTCTGGGGAGGAGGGCAGGAAAGCAATACATTTCACTGTTTGACCTCCTTCAACCCTCCCTTCTCGCCCACTTGCAGGATGGTGGGAAGCAGATGCTGGAAGGGCTGGCAGGTAACAAGGTTCTGATCGAGTTCGACCTCCGCATGGCAGGGGTGGGCCAGGAGACCGAGTACCTTGTTCACCAGATCCTGTGGGCCAACCGGGAAGCAGCATGGCTGGAGTCCCTGCAGCAGTCCAGAGAGCAGTGAGCGTTGCAGGTGCACTGTTGGAGACGCTTTACCTCAGAGGCTTGTTTTCATTTGTATTTGTGAGAAACGTTCAACCTGTGGCTGCTGCTGCAGTCTTACCCAGATCCCCACCATCCAACCACTTTAATACATCCACCATTTTAATACAAGACAGACATTACATGCCGTGGGACTGCAGCGGCATTACAGAAGCAATCTGCCTCCAGAGTCCTCCCTCCCACTGCACCCAAGACTAAATCCCACCTCCTGTGGCATATCTTACATGCTCCATCAGCAACTGGATGTTGTTCCACCTGCAAGGCAGGTAAGGTGAAGTCTCCACGATCTAAATGGTCTAATCCAGAGCTAACCTTCACAGCAGGCTGCTCTTTTAGGCTTTTTGCTGAGGAGGATGTGAGATGAACAGAGGATGTAAGAACGTTGTTCCTTGTCCCTCAGCAACTTTTTCTGATCATTGGATTTATTTGTATTTTATTTCAAAATCTGTCTGCAGTCTCAGATATGGGTGGTGAAAAGTAAAAAAGAAATAAAAATAAATCCAATAAATGATCAGTCTCTCCGCCATGGTTTCCTGCTTCAGGTTGCTATGCCTTTGATCAGTGCCAGCCTGCTTTGCAAACAGGGGAATTCTTTACAACTAGATGTTTATTCTAACTCGTAGTGCTCTTCTGTGCAAGCCTGTCAAAAGAATCAGCGTTTTGAGTAACTTCAAGCTAGAGGGGTCCCTGCAGGACTGCTAACCCACACAGCCCACAGGGTTGAAAACAGAGCAGCTTCTTCTGCCTTGGAGGAAAACGGAGCAGCTTCCTTCTGCTCCATGCATGGCTGTGGCCACCTGGGGACAGGACAGGGCACATACGTGACTGCCTTGGTCCTTCGGCCACCCCACTCAGGAGAGGTCAGCAGGGAATTAAGGCTGATCTCCATCGCCTCCCGCACTCTGAGCAACTCAGGGGCTTTACACCAGCACCAGCACTGACAGACCCACCGCTGGCAGCCACCTCAGTGAATCATCCGAAACTTTTATTACACCGATTTGGTTTACAATCTTTGTACTTTGATATTTCCAACAAAAAAGGCAACATTGTGATATACTGTTTGTACATATATAGAGAGACAGACAGAGCTAGATCATATTGACAGAGTTGAAAAGTAAAAACTGTTTCCCAGTATTCACAAAAGAATTTGTTCGCCACGTACCCGCTTCTGCCTTGCTCTGCCTGATGGATACAGATGCCTGTGGTGCCACTGGCCCCCGGCCGACAGGACCTTTACCTGTGTCATGTCAGGCCCTTACAGATCAGAAAGGATGGAGTGCGAGGCTGTCCCCAGCAGTCATGGCCGTGCCAGGGCCACCATGCTGATGGGGCTCAGTCCCAAGCCCTCACAGGTCATGGATGCTCCAGGGGCTCGGTCCACAAGAAACCCTAACCAGCAGCAGCAGCTGAGAAACCTCCCTACCTGGGTGTCTCTCACAACTCGCTTTCCATCCTCGAGACCGAGGTATTGAATAGATTTGTTTCTTTTTATTTGCACTTACAAAGTATTCCCACTGAATGACACACCTGAATGAGATGAGAACTTGTGTTCAGAAACAGCAGAAAAGACCCAGGTCAGCATCAGGCTGATGAAGGAACAGCTCCAGCAGCAAGGGTGGGGGTTTAATGGAGGTGGCCTGGTCCTAGGCAAGCCTGCCTGTAGCTCCAAGTACAGGGCTGCGTCTGGTCAGCCAGCTGTGCAATGAAGGCTCGTGCTGGGAGGGCAGCGATGAGATCCCTCAGCCATGCTAGCAGACACAGAAGGAGGAACTGGCTGCCAGAGCCAGTGAGGAACAGGGATGAAAGAAAAGGGCTTGGGGAAACATATCATCACCACAACAACTGTTGACTTGCTTTCCAAGGATATTCACATCTCCTTTTCCTGCAAATGGCCAAGGCTGTTAATGCCACCTGAGCACACTCCTCGGCTGCCACATGTAGGAATGCTTGGACAACCCTTTGCCTTCCCTCCCATCTATCTCCTAGCCAAAGAGAAAAGCCCAAACCAAGCAGGCTGCACCACTTGCCCACACCAAGACCAACAGCCTGCTATTTGGCAGCCTGCAAGGGTCGAAACGACTTCAAATGCCATACATGTTGGTAAAAAAATGAAAGCCCTGACAGCAACAGCAGCTTGCGTGAGTGTGAACACTCCTGTCATTGCTGGGTCACTTGTCAGCTCCAGGTCTGGTTACCGTGCTGTGGGACCACCATGCAGAGTGGTAACCAGTAGGTCACTCTGTGCTGGGAAGGGCCAGTATGAGCCCTTTAGCTCTTCCATGAGATCCATCCCCAAGGAGTGCTGCAGAGCTTTGAGGAGGGGGTCAGCCGTGGGCCTCCATCTGAGGAAAGAACAACCTCTGGCACTTTGCCTGGGAGCTGGTCTCCTCTCCCTTGCACCGGTGCAGCGTGAGCAGCATTTGGCAGCAGAGGAACCCATCCAAGCTGGGAGCATCCCCTTGTCCATGTGCCACAGACATGGGGAGAGACAGAGGGTGGCTGGGAAGTAAAGCAGGGGGAAAGACACAAGGGCTTGCACTTGGACTATGCCAGTGGGTGCCCACTGGCCCGGAGCAGGGGTGTCTGGCTGGCTCCTTCCCACAGCAGATGGCAAGCCCTGCTTTTGCTCTGAGCACAGCTCACGCAGCAGCAGGAGCCAGTGGCTGGCTTCCCAAGCCTGGCGGCTTCTGCTCACAGCGACCCAGGCATCGATTTGCAAGGTGTCACACTGGCATATGCTGTAAAGAGGATGGCAGGTTGACTTCAAGCACCAATTGGGGGTGGAGGAGCAGGCTGCCGTGGGGATGGGCAGAGGCTGTGCATGGAAATGGTTGCTCCGTTCAGCCTCCCTTTGTTCCCACAGAGCTGCATTTGTCCACGCTGACCTCTGTCCCTGCCTGCCCTATACCTGCTGGCCCTCTGCACAGCCAGCTGAGGTGCTGGTGGCTGGGGCTCAACAGCAGGGGAGGAAAAGACAACTGACACGAACTCTCCTGATCACTGGGGACACACCACTTTATCCCACAATCACCTACAGCATGTGCCCTATGTGCAGCAGCCTCCCTCAAAACTCCCTCTCCAGCTAGCCCTGGCGGGGCTCACGCACTTCTCTGCAGACAGGGCACTTCTGGCTAAGCTAGACCCTCCTGCTTCTTCCTTCCAATGCAGTGAAGAGGGATGAAGCTGAGCAGCACAGAGCCAAGCCCTGCATCGGCTTCCCTAGGTGGAGGGGATGGCTCAGAAATGAATTGTTCCTCCTCCCTACAGGCTACGCCTGAAATAGCCATGCCTGTCAGATCCCTGTCCCCGGCTGTGATGGATTGGCCTCTCCAAGGCACAAGGCAATTTATTCATTAGTGACATTTACACCTTGTGGCTGCATTAGCCATTGCTGTTTGGTGACACGTGCTCGAGCTGTCAGTGCTGGGCTCGGAGGCAGCATCGCTGCTCTGACAATACAGCAAGGCTTGGTCTGGGCACCTCAGCTTTGAAATGCCTCCTGCCTGTCTCCCCAGTCTGGAGCATGCTCAGCCTGCAAGGAAAGCCTGCTTTATTCCTGGGCTTCTCCATCAAATGCCCTGGTCTATTTCCCACACCCTCCGTGCCTCGCAGCAGCATTGGTCCAGCACAGCAGCCCTCAGCCCTGTCTCGCCTTGTGTCTTGGTAAAAACCATCACATCTGCAAAGCCTTTTACAGCTGTTCTTCAACATCCCCTCCTCTGCACGTATCTTGCTGTGCATTCACACACTATTCTGCCCTCCTCATCGAGCTCCTCCATCAGCTGTGTCTTGTTCAGCCCACAGCAAAGCTGCCCTTGGTCCCAGCAAAGAAGCACAGAGCCTTTGTTTGGAAACTCACCCAGAAGACACCCTGTCCCCTGGTCCCACACTGCCACAACAGCTGATGTGCCTCTCCTGCCAAGAGACAGCACTAGGAACCCAGAGACCACCAAAATGTCAAGGCCTTCTGTCTTCTACTTTTGGTCTGTTGGATTTACCCTGCCTACAAAGGCTCCGAGAAGTGCTGTGGAATTCTCTGAGAGAACATAAAGTGATGCACAAGTGAGGCCCGGCTGTGTTGCCTCTCCACCAAGCAAGCCCAAGGCACACCAGGGCAGGAGCATTGTTGGGAGGCTGTATGCAGGCAAACCAGCAGGTTATGGCAGGCTCTGGCCACCAGCACGCCTGAGGTATCACACATCCACTGGCATTTCATGGCTGCCCACAGTGCTAGCATGGAGAGGACCAAAACGATGCAAATGCACAGCCTTGGAGGAGTTAGGGAACAAAGTCCTTTGGCTACCTCAGAGGAATAACAGTTTGCACATCAGGTTTGGGAGAGTGAGAAGAGCTGAACAGTGTTGGCCAGGAGCAGATCTAGCAGCTCTCCCATTTCAGGCAGCAAGGGATTAGCTCGTTCTCAAACACAGCTTGCACCATGCTTTTATCCCTGCTCCCTGCCACTCGCTGCAGCAAATGTGACACTTCACACCATCTCCTCACAAAAACCAGGTCAGGAGTTTCCTCTCACGAGGAACAAGCAATGCTCTGTTACCCTGCAAAGCCCTGGCTGCAAGGACAGACGGGTGACACCAGACCACAGCCACAAACACATCAACCCTCTGCAGGGCTGGGGGTCCCGGGTGTGCACACGGGCATGCAGAAGCCCACCCTGCCATATGTGCATGCTTGGGTGGACAGCCAGGTCACAGCTCCAGGGGCAGAGGAAGCCCTGAAACTCCAGCTTTTGTTTCTGATCACCCTACCCCATTGTGGAGCAACAGGGCCACCATCCCAGTCTTCCTTGAGCAATTCTTCCCCACAAGCACTGCACACGTCTAACAGAGCTGGCTGGAGTGTTTAACCACACCTCATCATCAAAAATCTGTTTTTCCCAGCAAGGAAGAACAGCAACCTGGAACACTTCTCGCCACTGTTAAGGCCTTTTGGTCTCACGCCAGTTTGAAAAAGCCATTGGCATTTCAAACATGAAATCCTGTTATTTTGGGCTCTAGCTGTCACTTTTCCCCCAGCCTGCTGAATGGTGCTTGCATGCTGCTTGGTCACACATACAATTACTTTCCTTCCCCTCTGCTCAGCCCCTGGGGACAGGCTCATCCTGGGAGGAAAGGTGCAACACAAACAGCCCAATAGCCTCTAGCATGGCTGAGCAGGAGGTGATGCCTGCTTTCAGCTGATCCTCTCTCTGCAGCTGCCTCTGGAGACAAACACAGACTCAGGCTTGGGCTTTTCCAAATGTTTTCACCCTGACTGGTTCATGGACTGCCATTCAAAGCCTGAATTCATGGCACAGCTGCTGACGGCGCTGCTAATGGACATTGGGACCATGGGACTGATACAAAATACTAAGTCATCTCACCACATTCTAGCTAGGCTTTTTCTTTCACTAATGTGAGTAGCTAAGACCACAGAAGCAGCTTGTGCTGATGGAGAGTGAAAGAACCTCATGTGTCTGTGTGTGAAGTTACTTTGCTCTACAAAATCTGCTAGATTATAATCACAGTAGGGGATCCATCCATTCCCGAAGTTCGAAGGACCAGGGAGAGTTCAGGATGGGCACCAATTTCTCACAAGCTTAGTTTTCCCAAATGAAGTTAGCAAAACCGAAACAAACGAACAAAAAGGCCCAACAAAAACAGTCTTCCTTGGTGGGGGGGAGGAATAAAACCCACTTAGCTTTCCAGCAGCCACTGTGCTTATTCTCAGTGCTGGATGGCCATGCTGCACATTGCAATGGGCTCCTGAAAACTTGGCAGCTTCTGGAAGAGTTGCATAGGTGGATGATGTACCTCTTAGTAGAGCCTGTTTACGAGCTGCAGGAAGAGGAGCTTGCTGACCTCCACAAGAAACTGTCCCTCCCCCAGGACAGACAGAGGTGAGGAGACAAGGAGGAAGGGGAGACCACGGATCTTGCAGGTTCAGTTCTGTCCCTGGGACCTCTTTTCCCTCCTATGTGGAAAGGCTGTAGTCCTGTGGGACAAGGCTCCTCTCCCAGTGTGGTGGAGGTCAATCTGCTTGTTGTCTTGCTTTTGAGGGAGTTGATGAGATCGCATCCATGGGCATAACGTTTCCCTTGGCAGAGCAGCTGTGATGGAGGCAGTAGAGCAGAACAATTCAACCTACTGCTTGCAGATACAGTATATATTCAACATTCATCCATGTTGGCCAAGTCCCAACATGAACTCAGTGCATTAAAGCAACACTGTGACAGAGCAATTTACCTGGATTCAAGGACAGACCACTATGAGGAGTTGCTAAGCCAAGCTCACATTGGTATAGTACCACCAGCTTCAATAAAACTGCACTGGTAATGAACATAACCCATTCATTTCTACCTGAAATGTGACTAAGCACCTTTCCCCTTTTTCCAGAATGCCCACAGGGAGAAGATCCTAAAGCAGGTGCCATCCCAAGTCCCCACTGGGCTACGAACCAGCCTTTGGTCCCCACACATAGCTGGCTCAGTGGAGACTCTAGGCCCATGTGCATCAGAGGAGGCAGCATTACCAAATAGAGTTAACACTTAAACCATGTTTCATTTCAGAGATGATCTGAATCCAGATCATGTTCATACAGACCTTATTCTAACCACCAAATATGAACGAAACATGATTAGAAGCACATATCACAAATTGAGACTTACAGCTCTTTGGCAACACAGCTTCTTAGTGGTGGTGTAGTATTTTAGACCCATGCCCTACAGCTACTGCAGCAGAGTAGAAGCACCTTGCAGCAGGGCTGTACCCTGCTGAAAGTAAGGCAGCACTCTGGTGATACCAGACAGTAGTACTGAAGCCATGGTTGGAAAGTCTGGAAGGAGAGTTTAAAAGGTATTATTCTTCCCTCAGGCTAATCAGCAGGCACTCATTTAACAACATTGGATGCTACCTAATTTTCTTAAACTTCCCTTAATAAACCCCTTCCTGCAGTCCCCTCCCCATGGGCACCCACCAGAGGTACTGAAGAGCTCTGCGGCCTCTTGAGTGGAGACACAACAAAGGTGACAGGCTTGGGCTGGGTCTCCAATGTGTGCATTTTATAGGGAGCAGAAAGGAAGGGGGGATGTGCTGTCTGAGATCAGAAAAACATCAGCCTTAGCACTAATCCTGAGTTTTTGCCTAGTGTATGACTCTGAAATGCCTGGCCTTAGTCATAAACTGAGATTCCCCCTCCCTGTCCTAACAAATGCCCCTACAATTGGCTCAATCCAAAAGCCCTCTCCGAAATCTCTCTCTTTGGTGTGGTTTGCATGATGAGCAGTGGGGGATCAAGAGGTACCACCAGCCTGGTTGATGTCACCACCTGGTTCTTCACAGGCAAAGCGCTAGGCACTATCTGGGCAGCTTCCATTGTGTGCTGAAAGATGGATAAATGGGTGGTGATGTGTCTTGAACATCAGCTAATCCACAGCTTCTTGCACACTCTTTCTCTTTCTCCTGTTCAGAAAAGCTGGAGAGTACCTGACAAGTATACTGGGAGCAATGAGCAACAGCATAGCATGAATTTTCTGTCCAGCCGTGCAGCAGTAGGGACTATCTCCCTTTTAGCACCAAGAAGAAAGAGGCCAAGAAGACAAGCCGCCTCTGGAAAAGTATGAGGAAAGCCTGCTGACAAGTGCAACGCTGAGCCTGACTCTCAGCCCATGGAAAGCTGCAGTGGGTGAATGACCCAGCTTTCACCTTCCCAGAGGGTGATGCAGGCTGTGCTGCTTTCCTTGCAGAAGAGGTCAGCAGTTCTGTGTACTTCTCTAACTTTGAAGGGATCTTCTGCCCAGAAATGAGGACACAGCCACGCTGACAGACCAAGGCATGGCTTGCACCCTTGGGCCTCTCCTCTTGCCCAGGCCAGCCTCAGAGCAGGAAGGATAGACTTGCTACACAAGGAAAACTTCCGCACCACCGTGCAAGCCAGTTTGATCCTGGGGGAAAGAAGACCCTGGGATTGGCGAAGAGAAGGCTGTGGAAACCAGATAATGCTGCTTGTGATGGGAAGGCCATGGGGAAAAGGAGCAGAGCCAATTAGACTTGCCAGTCAATGGAGGATAAGTAATGGGATTAAGATACAGCAGGGAGAACTCAGGTTAGATGTAAGGGAGCAGGCTATCATGAGAGGAGCAGACTGGGCCATCAAATGAGCTGCCAAAGGAGTCGTCATCACCGCACAGACACGGTGAAGAGCAGATGCAAGTCTGCAAGAAGAGCAGATGCCTGAGTGCTGCTCAGCCTGGAGCTGCGGAGGGTGGAAGTCTCTGTGCTGAGGAGATGGGACCAATCCACCACAGAGAGGCTGTGCACCAGAGCAGACAGACCATCTCGGGTTATCTGTGCTAATAACCTGAGCTGCAAGGAGAATTCAATCAGCTGCCCTTTGCCCAGGGCACAGTGGTCCCTCACCAGCACTTCGGGGGAAACCTCTACAAGCACACTCTTTCTGGTGGCTCTATCAGCTGTCTGCCACGAGCTTCTCTGTCTGGCTAGACATGCTGCCCTGCCATTGCAGGCAGGGAGAAGGAGAGAGAGCACAACCCCAGCTTCATTCTGTTCTCTCCAGCTCCACCACTTCTTTGCCAAGCCACCATACAATTCCCACCCCTGCTTCCCAGTTCTGCTCCCAAGCATGCCATCCCCTTTCCTGAGCCTGGCAGGAATGCAGCAGGCTGGACCGGGATGGGTAGTTCCACCATGCTCAGTAGGGTGGTAGGGCCAAGAATATGAGGAAGGGGATCTCTAAGAAATCCTGGTGTGCAGTGGGGAGCACTGACTAGAGAGGTCCCACTTCTCAGGATGCTGTGGGTCAGGGACAGCCACAGACCATGGCACTGGGACTACGTCTGACACCCGGATGTGGCTGGCACTGTGCGCATGGGGAAGGTGTTCAGCAACGGGAAGGCTCTGCATGGGTCCTGCTGGCCAGAGCAGCAGCTGTGCCTTAAAGATACCTGTGTCCACCTGGATAGACCACCACCAGAATAAGATTTCCTGAGAGAAAATGGGGCTAGAGGAACAAGTTGAAGAAAACTCATGAAAAGGCCCAGAGCGAGCCAAGGACAAGGTGCCTGCAAGCAGAACTCTGCCACAGGTGCTAAAGGACAGGGGCACAGAGACCCTACTAATCTGTTAGTATTCAGAGGACTGTCTTTGCCCCAGGGAGCTAAAAGGCCTGCCAAATCTTAGTTATATCCATCTGTCCAAGGCACCTTGGAGGCTGGAGATTGAAAGATGAGCCACCATAGCCTAATTTAAGCAATGTGTAGGAGATTTCAAAGAGAACATGTTGGGAAGGGCAAGCGAACCACATTCCTCACTAATGACCCGTTGCAGCTCCACTGACTGAACCTTTCCTGATTCACTGGGACATACAAGCACACACAGTTATCTCCCCAGAGTCACGAGGATCCTCGGCATTGGCCCTGGCTTACATTAAGCCCTTGGAGAGAGAAGTGCAAGTGAACAGCCAACCCAATGTCACCACTAAGCAAGAAAACCCCTAGGGCAGCCAAAGGGGCCGCAGCCACTTTCATCCAGTCTGGATCTGTGCAAATAATGAGAACAAAATACAGAGATGGATGTGCCCGCACCAGAGACCTTGTGCTTCTCCGTTCCCAAAGGGACCCTTTTATTTAAAACAACATGATCCAAGTCTGGTAGTGAGATTAAGGGCAGATGATAAGACTGAATCATACCAGGGTGAGATTTTAAAGGACTTTCTGTTCAAACCATCGTCATTTGGAGTCTAGCACTTGAGATCCAGGAGGACAAGCTGACTTGAAAGGCAAGAGACACCAGGGCACGCAAGGCACAAAGAGCAGAACAGACTGCTCTGGGGGCAAAGTCAAGCAGAGCCTTACAACACCTGCAGGCACTGACTGCTCCAGGCTTACCAGCAAGACATGATCTTCAAAAGAGGACTGTGGTGGCAGAGTGTGTTTGCAGCCTCCCCAGGATATAGGAGGTGAAGCAGTACAGCAGCATGACTAGAGAAAGAGACCCTTCATTAACAGTTAGCAAGAGGAAGACAGGCAGGACTAAATACAATGCCTCACTGTTTGCAGTTGCATCTTACCCTTCTGCAATGGCTGCAGAGACAGATACCAAGCTTGAATGCTCACGTGCTGATGGACTTGTGGTTGTCATCCAAGACCTGCTGCTCTCAGCCCTTGTGCGCCCCAGCCAATGAGGGAAGCGTGGTGAGGCTGAGGAGCAGTGCTGACTGATTTGGCATGCACTCCCACAAAGAGCTGACTGAAAAGGAGACAGCTTTTCTGCGAACAGGGACACAAGGGAACTGGGGATGTGTTGATGGAGAAGGAAAAGCTGGGTGCTTGCATGCTGCCACCACTCATGCAGCTTCAGTGACATGAAGGCTTCCTCCTCAATGTCACCAAGATCCTTTCCAGCAGGATAGAAGTGGCAGCACAAAGCTCAGAGCAGGCCAGCCTGCCCTGACAAGAGCAAGGTAGAGGAACCCAGTGGATAATGGGCTACCTCACTTGTGACAGCCTGGCATCTCTCTGCAAACACCTCTATAGTGTAAACCACTTGGTTTTAAGCAGGTTCCCCTGTAATGTGTCCCCAGCCTCTGTTCTGCAGAGCATCCCTCACAGCAGATGCCTCCCTGTCTCCCACCTGCGGGTCCTGCACCAACAAGTGGGGCCCCACAGAAAGAGAATCTTTGCTTCTCAATTCCCCAGCCCAGGTTCCCAATGCTCCAGCATGTGTTTCCCCTTTCCAGCTCCTCATAGCTCCCTGCCAAAACCAGGCAGCCAGGAGCCTGCAGCTCGGAGTCTGCAGGCAGAGCCTGGCCTGATCTCATGCAAAATTCACTCTCACAGACATGCACCAACCTGCTGCTCTATTATCAATAGATGAATTGCAGCTGAACCTACCAGAACCTTCCTCGATGCTTGTCGGAACCAATTAGGACTCACTTCAAAGCCAGGAAGGGACCTCGGCCACTTGATGTGCCACTTATTACCACGATGCCTGTCCCAGTGCCATCCTCTCCCCATTCCCCAGCTCACAGCGGGGGCCTCCCATTTTCTCTTTCCAGCTGAGCTCTCCTCCAGCAAAGAGATCAGAAGTGCCGCAGACCTCCACTCCATCTGGGTTCGCACATTCACCCCTTCCCCGGCGCTGCCTGCCTGCTGTAATCCCAAAGAGAAAGCCCTTTACCTCGGGGATGCTGACTCTCAGCGCTGGCGTGCTGAAGCTTCCTAAGGAGCTGAGCCTGGGATCCTCTGGAGGTGGTGCCATTCCCAGCAGTGAGAACAGAGTAACAGTCGGAGCATGGTCTAAAAACAATGGGGAGGGTGGGAACGGGGGGAAGGGGAAGAGCTGGATCTGTGGCTTTCAGACTTTGTTCTAACCTTGTCGCTCAGCTCCACGTGCCTGGATGCCCCACACCAGTAGGCACAGGCAGTGACACGCCGCTCCCAAGGGACCCATTCCCTTGCACCCTGCGAGGGGTGTCACTCCAGCATGGGCAGCGGGGTGGGCAGAGGTGCAGCAGGGCACTTCCTGGTGGCTGCCGGTTCCTCGGAGCACGAGCGAGCCTGGAACCAGGGCTGGGAGCCAAAGCACTCTCCTCCCTGCATCAGGCCTGTCTTTTTATTCCCCCCTTTGGATCTTGATGCCATGAATTACGGTGTTGGGGTTGGTTTGGGTTCTTCTGTTTTTTGCATGTGATGGTTGGTCTAGAGTTCTGTGCCATGTCAGGGGGAGCATCAGCACTCACCCCCCTGAGAGGTCAGGGCTACGGTGTGAGGAGCTTTGCTGGCTGCAGGAGCGAGAAGCTCCGTCCGCTCCATCCTGATGTCCTCCTAGGCCATCTGCCTCCACTGCGCTCCTCTCCCCAAATCCTGCACTGGCTCGAGCCAGGCAGTGGACAATGAGATCTCACCGGCCTCGGCTTTCACAGTGAGGTCTCCACACAGGACCCATTGCGGTGGAGGTGACGGTGGTCGTGGTTCAGGCAGCCTTCATTGCGGTGCACGATGAGGATGGGGAAGTAGAGGGCGTCCTGGTAAGGAGGGGGGTCTTCCTCCTCCACAGTCACCTGGCTGGAGAGGCGGGTCTGCTCCGTGGGGCAGCTCTGCTCATTGAGGCTCCCGCTCCGGCTCTGCCAGAGGCAGCTGCGCCGTGACCCATAGAGGCGGCCCAGGGAGAAGCGGCTGCTGCTGAAGGGGATCCTGGGGCTGCCGTTGCAGATGCTCAGGGCACTGCGGGAGAAGATGGAGGAGCTGCTTATAGTCCTGTGGCACCGCTCACAGTTCTGCCGGTAGCCTCCATACCGGCAAGCAGAGTAGTTGGTGCAGCCAGAGAGCCCCACCAAGTCCATCAGGACCGCTTCCGAGTAGCTGGGCACCAGCTGCTGGTTGGATCGGATGTGCCACTCCAGCTCAGTGCTGTCCACCGTGTTGACACGGGGCATCCTCCGGCAGAAGGAGCGCTCCTCGGCCGGTGTCACCGCCACATAGTCGAACCCAAAGAGTTTCTCTACATGGTAATGGACATAGGAGGTGCGGTACTCATTTAGCACCCGCAGGGGCCAGGATAGGGTCAGCAGAGCCGCCACCCAGAAGACATAGTGGGATACATACCAAGGCAGGTTGTCTGGGTCAGAAAAGGCCACCATGTATTCCTTGAAGTCCACGTTTTTGAGGTGCATGCCCTCCCTGGCCTCCATGTAGTCATCCAAGCCCTCGTTCTCCGTGAAGAAGCGGGCCCGCTGGGTCAGGTAGGAGTTCTCTGACTCCACGTTGGCAAAGCTGAAACACTTGGTGAAGCGGAGCCGTGTGGCCGGGTAGCTCTCCAAGTCAATGAGGTCCTTGGAGATGTCCTTAACTCCACAGTTGGAATAATCGAATTCAGCCTCTGCCACGTGGGTGTTGACCCTCTCGTGATACACCTGGGTGGTGGTGTAGGCATCCCCGTTGCGGTAGCGGGTAACCTGCCGAGTCCTGCGGACATAGTGGTAGCTGATGGCCTTCCACCAGATGCAGGGGGTCGCCTGCTGCATCCGCTGCACGCGTTCGTGCACGCTCTCCACGTCCACTTTGTACTGCAGCTCATTGCGGGTGTAGCAGTGCCAACACTCCACCAGGTACACCACGTAGAGCATCACCAGGAAGGCCAAGGGGATGTAGACGTAGCCGTTGGAACAGGGGCTGTCGTGGTACATCATGGACTTGCCCTTGTAGGCGCTGTCAAACGTCAGACGGGTCACCTTGGTGACGTGGCACCAGGTCATGGCTCCCATGCAGCCGTACATGAGGAGGGACAGCAGCAGGCATTTCCAGTGGGACTCTCGGCACAGGGACTTGCTGAGAGACTGCTTCACCGGCCGCTGCTGCTCCGGGGGGCACAGAGAAGGGAAGAGAAAACAAAGAGAGGAGTCAGTCGGCTGCAGCAGCAGCAGGAGGAAGAGGAGCAGGCAGCAGGGTGCCATGGTGGCACCTGTAGCCCCTCAAACAGGGACAACACAGATGCTGTGGGGCTCCTACGCTTAACGGGCAGGCCAGAGGCTGGGACTGATCCCAGAATGACAGTCCCACAGGGCAGGCAACTGTGACCCCCTTCCCTTTTTGTTGCTCTGCCCCTCTATGGGAGGCAGCCAGAGCCCACCTGCACATGGAGGAGAGCAACAGAGGGCAACTCTGCCAGCCTGCACCTGAGCATCACCCTTCTTCAATGGGGAGTGACCCCAACACTGACATGTCCCCTCGATGCACAGCGAGATGGAGGCAGGGGATCTCCCCAACATACCTTGGCTCGTGCAGCCATCCCACCCATGCTCTAACCGATGAGTTGTCCCACCTGAACACCTCACACAGCTCATCCCATCGCGCCTCTCCCCGCTCACACACAGGTCTCTCCCCCTTTCCCAGTAATGACCCATAGCAACATGCAGGTTTCTCCTACCAGGGCAGCACAAGCAGCCTGGGGTGCCTGTGAGATGGAGAAACAGACCTTCTGCAGCTGGGACAGTCTCTGTTCGGTAATGGCAATTCCCACCACAACACATGGCAGCACAAGGGGCTCCAAGTGCCTCCCAAGTGCTTTACAACCTTGAGAATGGGAAAGCTGTTTTCCACGAGTGAAATGCAGCCACCTCTGGTGGGAGAGAAAGCAAATACGGAATAACATCCTAAAAGGTGTGCAAGCTGGCAGAAAAGAGCACTCTGCCAATGTACGGCAGCAGGGAGGGCGAGTGGCCAGTCACGGCTCCCAGCTTGCACTGGGATTCAGCTGTGAAAGCCCACACCTCTGGAGAAACTGCCCACAGGTCGCACAGTGAGGAAAGGGCGGAACTTCAGCAATATGGATTTCAAGGGATTAAACTGGTGCCTTCACCACAGGAACCACGCAGGGCTTCACAAAGACCTGGGGAAAAACCCTGCTTAAAGAAACCTCTGTCACTCTGCAACACCCTGCAGTCTCAAGTACTGATCCAGCTTGGTTGGTGAGACCTGACCTTACCACACCCAAAGGGAGAACATGCAAAGAGACTATTTCCCTTCTTATACAAAAGAATCTCCAATGAAGAGACCTAAGAGAGGGGTGCAAGAACCCCAGCGCTGTGCAGATGCTGCTAAACTCACTGAGGCTTTCAGGTCTGTTCTGCCTTCCTAACTGCACGCAGCACCACTCCTGAGCTCACCTCTGCTGCTGTAATGACACCCCTCACAGCAATGAAGTCCAAGCCTGGCCCCACCTCTTCATTCCTGAACACGCTGGGCTGGAGAGGTCTCTCATCCAGGGATCCCAAAGAGCTGAGTGGGCTGCTGCTGCTAGAAAGCAGGGAGGGGGCACTTTCACTTTTGCATTAAAAGGGAAATTAAAGCAAGAACCAGAGTTCACAAGGCCACTGGCAGGTCTAGGGACAGATCTGGCCCTCTTCTCTTTTAAGAAATCCCCTTGCTCTCTCCTCACCCAATCTGGAGTCCCACACACCAACCATTCCTCCCTACACCTTGCCAAGGCTGGTTTGAGACTTCTGCCACTGCGACACAGCACAAATCTCCCACAGAGGTGTCTCTCCAGGAGGCAGGAGGCTTCCCTTCCCAGCAGCCAGCCTGCGATGAGCGGAACAGGCAGCATATCCATAGGGACCACCGGTGGCAGCGGGAACGGTGGCACATCCCACTGTGGGTCCCAAGCATTAGCAGCGCTGAGCCCCCCTCTTTGGAACCACATCTGAGAGCAAGAACAGGTGACAGAGACACAGAGCCCAGGGAAGGCAGGTTGGGTAACGCTGCTCTGCAGGCAACAGGGAGAGGTGTGTGGTGGCTCTGCTCATCACCTCCAGCACAAACTCATGTGCGTCCCTGTCTTCCCAGTGTGGCCCATCACTTCAGCAGCCTCACAGTCATGGGACGAGAAGGGAACCCCGGATAAAACAAAAGGGAGCAAGGAGAGGAAATGGGGATACCCACAGGCAGAGATGCCTGAGCTGTGCTCTCAGGTCCATGTTGCGGTTCCAAGAGCCTGCCCAGATCCCTCTGGCTTTGCTTGGCTGCAGCACAACTCTCTGCACTTGACAGCTATTACCCAGGCAGCCGAAGGTTTCCTCTTCCCCAGCTGCTTTCTGCATTGCAAATCTTCCCCCTCAGTGGCAATCCTGGCTAGGAGGCTCTAAGGGAGCTGCTTGGCCAAAGAAGGAGCAGAGGGAGGGTGTGAAGGGGGGCCTCAAGGAGATGCAAAGTACATGCTAACTCTGGGGTGTCTGCGTGAGAGGGCTGGCTCAGAAACAGTGCTTTGTTCGGGGTGGGGGATAACAGGGAATTGCAAATGGAGCACAGGGAATATAGCAAAGATTCAGCTCGCTCATCTGCCACGCTGGGGATGGGGGATCAGGAAGACAGATCTCTGGCCAGGCTGGTCCCAGAAAGCAAACTCCACCTCCCAGTTGCTCCAGCCCCTCACATTTTACATGCTCCTGCTCAGGAGGAGATACTGGCTGTCCCCCTGCAGAGATGCAGGCAAGCCCTGCTGTGGTTACCCACCTGGGGCAGGGAGCGCGATGCAGCCCAGGCTGGGTTCCAGGAACTGTGTTAGCAGGGCTCTAGTCCATGCATTAGCCTTTTCCTAGGACTACGCAGTATTGAGACACTGCAGCACTTTTACAGGGTTACGCTAACCCCTGCTGTAAACTGTTTACAACCCAGTTTTGTTCTAGGATTTTGAGGTAAAAAACATACACATTGGCCACGCTGGTGGGGTTTCTGAGAGCTGATCAAGTGGCAATGACGGGATACAACCACAGCAGAGATGGAGGAGGAGCCAGCTGCAGAGTCTCATCCCAGTAGGAACTGCAGCATCCCTGCTCCTCTCCTGGGCTGCAAAGGGCTCACAGGAGCAAGCAACCGGCTCCACAGCTTCCCCCTGCAGAAGAGGCTGAATAAGGTCGCCTGCTTGAGCTCTTAACCAACCCTGGAGAAGTCCAGCACAGCAAACATGTAGATGAAAAAGCCATGGAAAGGGAAATCCTTTCTGTCCCAGAACAGTGTCATTGGGAGGAGAGCAGGCTCTGACATAAATGCCATCGTCGTATGCCCACTGCAGTCTGATGGAACAAGGCAAAATGCGTGCCCTACTTCGTTGTAAACAGGGTTTCCCTCCATCGCTGGGAGCCTCCCCCATTGCTCAGGCTTGTGCACTGGAAAGGGGTAAACAAATCCACTATTGCAGGTGCACCTGAACATCTCTGCAGTGCTAGAGGGCAGAACTGGTCCAGCTAGGGCCTGGCCAACCCCTCTGTGTGTGCTTCAGCTCACCATGTAGAACCCATGGGACAACCCTTACCAGGTGCCTGGGTGCTGGGAAGGCAAGAGCTAGACTCCTGCTACAGCCTTCCCTCCCTCATACATAGCATTTGCCTCTGATATTGCCCCTGAGGTGAAAGGAAATGGAGTTCCACTCCTGAAGCTGTGGCTCTGGGGTGCACAGGAAGGGATGGAAAGGACGACTTATGAGCAGCCACAAAGAGAATGGAGATGGCCATAATGCACTAAACTCCTTTGAGATCTGGGGACTCCTCTTCTCAGAAAAGCCTCGAGGGTTCAAACCTGCCCAGCACCCCAGTGGCCAAGCACAGGGGCAAAATACCTTCATTGCCCCCACAACCTTTACCGTGCCACTTTGAACACTAAACAACTCCAGAAACCCTTTAAGCTTTTCAAGCTTCTTCTGAAGCATCCTGTCCTTGGCTCCATCTACCACCCCCATTTAATAAGTGTTCTGTGTCCTCACCTCCTGTGCCTTGCAGAGACCTGCCTGATATCTCCAGTTCACCTCCAGAATGCTCAGCCTTCACTTTATGAGACACCCTGGATTCACAGGGTTGGGTATCCTAGGGACAGCCCTCCATGGGGCTGAAGAAACAGTTCAAAACAGCCCCAGAGCAGCAGCGTGGATGCCCAGGTAGCTCCTGAGTGCCAGGCTGTGGCAGCAGCTTGCAGGGGACTCCAGTGGGACTCCTCAGCATCAGTTTCCATGGCTCTGCCCTGCCCATTTGCTTACATCATGCAACAAATGAATAAGCCCTGCTCCCTTTGACCTCAAATCTCCAGAACAAGGCAGGCGGGGAGCATCCAGTCACTACTAAAAATTGCCACCATCTTCCAAGGCCCCGGACAGACACTGGCAACTCCTGGTCAGGATGGTCCCAGCAACCCCTCCCCAGTCACAATCCATGTGCCTACAGCCCAGATTCAGGAACTACCTGTCTAGAAGAAAGAGGTGGCTCAGCCCCAGGCTGGCAGCATCACCAACTGCAGAGGAAACAGAAAGGCTGAGCATCTCAGAGCCAGGGAACCCTGCCAGCAGTCATCTCCTGCACTAGAACCAAGGTCTCCATTTTACACAGCAGCTTGGAGGACGATTGATTCCTTCCATCAGATCTTACCCAAGCAGCAGGACAAGGACTTTTTTTGCCTGCTCCCAGGCTGAAAAGCTCAGCATTTCCTACCCTCCAAGGTGGAAATGCATTGCTGAGTGAGATTCAGCTCACCACCATCAAGTGTAGGTGTATGCATGTGATGCCAACAGGGAGCAAGGGGTCAGCCCACTCTGGTCAGTAGCTCTTGCTACTTGTCTTGCTGGAACAACCTGAAGCCTGCCTGGCCCCTAGACACAAAGACCTGAAAGATGTCAGCATGAGGCACCTTAAAACAGCACAGAGCGTGTTTCCCATTTTCCAGTCCCCACATAACTCACCTGGTTCCCTGGGCAAAGGACCCCTATAGTTGGGGTTCAGACACATTCACGGGATGCTCAGCAATGCTGGCACAGGCAGTTGGCTCTGATCGAAATGAGGACATCACACTGCTAGGACAGCCTTACGCAGGCCCTACAGGGGAGCAGGAACACTCTCCCTTCCCAGTATTTCTGAGGACAAGAGGATTGCCCTAGGTCAGTCCACCAATCCAGGCTCCCCGCTAAGATCTCTCCTCATTGCACCAGCTGAGACACCACCAAGCATGGCACTGTCAGCAGAGGCTGCAGCTTCCATCCATTCCACCAGCTGCTTCATGCAAGTCTGTGATAGCTTCTGGCTGCAGGAAGTGTGCCTTTAGCCTAAAGATGTCATGGACTGCAGCCTTCTGCCTGCTCCCACAGGATACAATTACACTGGCACCCTGGTTGGCAGCCACCATGGAGCAATCAAAGCGCAGACAATCTTCTCGGAATCCCTCAAGACAGGGGACACTGCAGGCAAGAGAAACTCACCCGGGCACTGGCCCCGCTACACTTCTTTCATTCAAACCAGCTCTGGCATCTCTCAAGAGCCGCTGTGCTCTCTTGTACATAGCAGCAGCGCTGCCAGGGCACTGGGGGCAAGGGACCACATCCCAGCATGGCACAAGCTTGTCCTCATGCTAAAAAGGCACTTCACAGTTTAGCTACCGTTTAGGAGCCGTTTGGAGAGCCTGGGCTCAGGACACCAGGGTTTGTTGAATGGAAGCAGGGAGAGAGGAGCAGCCCCAGAGCAGAGTAACACGGTATTTGTACAGCTTCACAGTCCTTGAACTTCAGCATTCCTCTCCCGCAATTATTTATAGCTAAATATAAGTCTGTGTATATGGAATAACCGTGCATGGGCATGCACATTCCTCCTAAGCCAAAGAAGCAGAGAATACCAGGATTATGCAGCACTTGCTAACCGCAGCTCCTCAACAGCAGAGGACCACTGATGCACCAGCTTTTGAGCACACACACCCCCCCCCCCCCCAGCTGCTGCCCTTTGAGCTGTGGTCTCATTGGTGAGGACAAGCCACTGCACCAGGAGAACGCTGCATCCCCTACACTGCTTAGCTGCCCTCCATGGGTCCCCCGCCCCATGCCGTAAGATGGGTCTTCCTAGTCAGTGCAGCTGCTTTCTCTCCTCTTGGGAAGCCCAAGCTGCGAGCATGATGTGTGGAGGCAGACAAAGGGGTTCCCACACCTGCGTCCCCATGCTGCTCCCCATACACATAGTACCCTGCTCCTCACCCTTTTGGGCATCTGCTGCCTGGACGCCACAGAAGCCATCAGGAGGGGAAGGACTGCAGCATACCTAGAGGCAAGGCTGTGCTGGTACCTGGCCTGCCCGAGTCTGCACCTCCTGCTTTCCCCAGCCATCTTCCAGCTGGGAGCAACCACCAGCGACAACCCCAGGCTTCTCCACGTCCCCCCTGCTGCTCACTGCATCTTCCCCTGCAGTGACCCGGGCAGCTGTACTACCTCCTGGCACCCCAAAGCCAGAGCGCAGCAAGGGGGGCTCCCCATTTCTCCCAGGCATAAAACCCTCTCCCAACTGCAGTAAGCCCAAGCAGCGCCCCGCGCTCCTCTTTCCCGTTTTCTCCCTACACCCCGGTCACCTCCGACCCCACCTCCACCAGAGCGGCGCTGGCTGATGCGTCCCTCCCAGCCCCGCAGCACCGCGGACAGCCGGGCAGCCTGCAGCGGCGGGGACCGACGGGAGGCTTTCCTCGCCCCCCTCCCAGCCCCGCGCCGGCCCGCACCGCGGCCCCGGGGCCGGACAGGGCCTCCCAAGGAGGGGCTCCATACCTGTGCGGGCAAAGCCCGGCCCGCGGCGGGGCAGTCAATGAACGCGCCATGCAAAGCGGGCGGAGAGGGAAGGAGGGAGGGTGGTGGGGAGCAGCCCCGGGAGGGGGGCGGCCGCTCTCCTTCCTCACCTCCTCTCGGGCCCCCTCCGCCTCCTCCTCCGGAGGCACCGGCGTGCTGCTGCCTCCCTCGCTGGTGGCGGCGGCCGAGGCCGGGGGGGACATGGCGGCGGGGGCGCCCCGCTGGCGGTGCCTGCGGGCTGGGCAGCCGCATTATCCCGCCCGCCGCCGGGCGCTGCCTCGCCGATCTCCGGGCGGGCGGCGGGGCGGCGCGGCGGGCGGGCGGCGCGGCGGCATGACCTCCAGCCGCGGCACGGCGGCAGCGCTCGCCGCCCGCCGGACCCCGGACCCCGGTCCACGGCCCCGCCGCAGCGCAGCGCCGCTCCCGCGCCCGCGCCCGGCGCGGCGGAGGGCGGGCAGAGCCGCGGTGGGAGGGCCGCGGCGGAGGGGGGGGGACGGGATGGGGACGGGGACGGGGATGAGGATGGGGAGGAGATGGGGTGGGGGCGCGGCGGGATCGAGCCCGCCCGAGCGAGACGGCGGATGACCTTGAGGCGCCGGCGGCAGGCAGGGAAGCAGGCAAGGAGCCCGACGAGCCCGCCCCTCGGGAGACCCTCCGGGAGCGGAGCCTGGCACTACCGGGGAGGGCTCCCCCTCCCAGGCTCGCCGACGGTGCGTCAGGCTGGCCGGACTGCTGATGGGGAGAGGTGAGGAGTCCCGTGGGATGAAGTGAGGGAGCTCGGAGGACCCGGAGCACTTCGCCTGAGCTCTAGCGGTTTTCCTAATCCGTGGGCAGCCCCAGCTCGTCAAGAGGAGTGTTTGGGTAAAGGCTGACCGTCAGCAGTAATGCTGGCACTCCCGGGGAAACCTTCGGTTGAGAAGTGTCTTCACTGCTGTGATCTCCCCTGGGCCCAAGGATGCTTAGCTAGGTATCACAGAGCTGACTGCAGCATATTTCACCCACAGATCTAACCTGCCTGGTTGCAGGGACAAGTGAGAAAATCTCTTGACCCTCAATCTAAATTCACAGGGGAGAACAGGGAAAACACACACAGAGCTCAAGAACTCATTTAGGTCCACATATTGCAGGTAGAGCCCAGCTTCCTTGACAGTCTTGAGAAATCAGGTGTCTCTGCAGGTACTTCCCCAGATCCAAACTGGGGAAAAGCATAAGCTGCAGAATTTGCTGGAAATTGCTTCACTTTTTCTGAGCTCTGAGGCTCAGCCTTGGTGTTGGGATGAGTGGCTTGCTATTGTTCACTCTGTTCCCTGGGATGAGCAAGGAACAGTCCACAGGCATTACGGTCTCACTAAAGGAGATGCATCTGAGGAGAATTGCCAGCCACTGCTTCTTGTGGGAATAGGCGTGACAGCCAGGGTGCTGCTGAAGGAGCTCATCTTCAAAAAAGGCTGGGAATGCATTTCCTCTTGCCTTTTTTTCCCTGTTTCCATAGGAACAGCAACAAGCAGGAGCAGCCTGCTCTGAATTTTGTTGCCTACCGCTCAGGCACCCCTGCCCATTCCTCTAGGCAGACTTTGGCTCTTGAGGGTTTCAGACCCATCCTCACATGATAGATCCCATGCCTCCAAGGAGAGCTCACCACTGTGTGTGTGTGTATACCATGGCAGAGCAAGGCAAAGAGGCACAAGCCCAGCGCTGCCAGGATTTCTGTAGCAGCACTCTGTGCTGTTGCATGCACACTAATAGTTGCAAAGAATTTGCATGTTTATGCACAATGTCTGCTTTTTATAGGGCTAGGGTCTCCTGGAGGAAGTGACTTCAGCTAGACCCAAAGGCTCTGATGGGATGGTCACCCTTCAGGAACAGCTCTGGTTTTCACTCGCAGATGGGAATGTCACCCAAAAAGAGCAAAGCAGAAGGCGGAAGGGAAAAAGGTGATATGAGTTTGTCCTTGCATTAATAGCCCAAGGTGGCTCTTGCTGCAGGGAATTTGTTCATTCACTTTTGAATGCATGTTAACTATGGACTTCTAGATTCTGCATGTATTCCGTGGCAGGGAGTTCCACAGCACAGGCCCAAGGAGCACCTTCCTTCAGTGTGCCCATTTTGGGCTTGTTATCTGCTAGGGCTAACCCTTGGGAAGCAGGCTGATGCCACCCCTATGGAGCCATCCGCACAGGGCCCTGCAATTTACCCTCCACCAGTGGATTCAGTAGCTGGAAACCACTACTGTAAACAGTAGTAGTGTTTCTATATTAGGCATCTGTGATACTAGTCCTGGCAGCATGTGTTCTGTGTCTTGGAGATGACACTGCCAAGCACATCACCACCTGTGCTGTTTCTGAGCTGAGGTGTCACAAAGAAGTCCTGTGCCCTGATGTGTCCAAACTGATGTCGTACAAGTTCTCAGCCTGTTGGAAACAGGCATGTGGCAGGTTTCAACCCCCCAGATAGGAACCCGAGGGCATGGCAGATTACATGCTACAAAAAGCATGGGAGAATGGGAGAAACAATGCTGTATGAGGCATAGGCCTTTTGGAAACTGAAGCAAGACGGCCAAACGTCCAAGATTGAGTTGTGTTACCGTCAGAGGGAGAGCCCAGCAGTCCTAGTTATAACACCCTGCCCTGACCACTCAACCCTCCTTTTCTTGAGGGCAAGAGATGAAAATATCTTTTCTCTAATATGTGAGAATCTCTTCCCCACTCACCCCCTACCTCACCCTCCCTGTTATTCCTGTAGGTTTCAGGATGTTCTATTGGAAGATTGCATTGGACAGCAGGACATTTCTGGTATGGGGGGTTCTGATATGACCAAATGGCTGAAAGAAGCAGGGAGGCTTTTAAGAAAATGTGGTGACTGAAGTAGAGGTGGTACCCTTACTGGAATACCAATAGGTTTGTTCTCCATATACCCTGTGTCTGCCACCCTGCAGAGACATTCATATCTCCAAGCTTATGTTCCAAGCAGACATAAAGCACAAGGTCACATTAGCAGTATTCATTCACTTCCCATAAGGCATCAAAACAGAAAAATTCTCACACTTCTGCCTCTGCTAGTTACAGAAAATGGCACTTTTGCTCCTGGTTAAATATGGTTTTAGTTACCCATGCAGTAAATTTGCATTTAATTCTGGACAATTTTGACAGAGGCTGCATTTTAAACCAGATGACCGTAGATACCTACTCTTGTCCTGATATTTGTAGTCTAACTATAAAGCTGGGATTTGCAGCATCATATATTGGGTTTAGCTTTATTTTATCCAATAGGCCAAGTGTGATCAAAACTTAGTCTTTTGTTCTGAAGTAATCAATGATTCCTTGCTATCTGCTGCTTTTTGTCTCTCAAGAAGCTGTGTAGCAGAGAATCCCCTCGGGGTAGGATGCAGGATTTTCTAATTCAGAAACTGATGCCTGTTTAATTTAAGGATTTCAAGGGTATTTTGTGCTGAGCCTTCCAGAGTGTGTCACTCCAATTAAATTACTCCTTATGTTAAGGAGCGTGGGTGAAGGAACATGCGTCCTGACCCGGTTAAACAAGATCCCTTTGCCACTGCTGATCGATGGGGGGGATAGCATGGGTGCCATCTACCTCTGCAATCATTCTCCTCAAGGAAATCTATGCCATTAGTTACATTTTGCTTTGCTACACTCAGTTTGTGTTTGCTGGGAGGAGATCCAGGTATGCCCTTTGGTGCTGTGGGAAGGAAACCCATGGGGTCACTAATTTGTGACTGGGGAACTAGTTTCTGTTTATCATCACTAGACAGGGGCCTGCATCTTCATGGGCAAGATGCCAGCAGCCCACAAGCACACAAAGTCTTAAACTCCATGAAGTCAGTGGCTCCGGCTCTGGGGTGCTTTCACAGATGAGAATTGCTGTCATTGGAAATTCTTTGATCCCTACTCTGATCCTTCCCTTTCCAACAGGCCACCTGGTTGCTTGTTTTCCATCCAGCCCCACAAGAGTCCAATTCGTTATCACCACAATTATTTGTGAAGCTCCACAGAGGTTTCTGGCTCAGGTTAAATTAGTTTCCTCTCAGCAGCAGCCCAGGAGGATACCCAGAGTCCTCTCTCAGACCATACCCCCCCCCCCCCCCAAATGAAAAGCAGATTCAGAGCTGCCCAGATGCTGCTTGGCAGTCCTCAGGACATTTCATCTGATGTAACTATGGAGCAGAAGCTACCACCCCAAGTGCCTGGAAAATGAGCCAAATCATCCTCTGGCAAATGCCTTGTTCTGCCTGAGCTTTTTCACCCATCACCCCCCAAAATAAACAAGCCATGGAAACTAATGCCTCAGAGAATTTAGCCTATCCCTAGTTATGGGCCTGGGAGTCACCTCTCTAAAAGCAGAAAATAGGATTGTTGCAATTTGCCTACCCTGCACTGAACAGTTGGAGCTGATGCATCCTGGTCTGGGGAGGCATCCCTTCTTCACCCGACCCTCCCCATGGACCTAAGCAGGCAGAGGAGATGAGGCCCTTCCAAGGAAGGTTCTAAAAGCCCACTGTATGACTGGCTGCATTACTTAGCAACTATCACACAGGCTGGGGCTGGCAGTGAGGCCAATGTCCTGGGGTATGGCTGTGATCCTACCTTGGGGAATGGCTGCAATCCCACCTTCGGTGTACCAGGAGCACCCATTATCTGGGCAACATGGACTTGTTCATCACTTATTCATGGTGCTAGGGCTCCTCCATCCCAGGGGATGGCCACCTGCCCTCTGTGTGCCCTGTGCTCCTGCTCAGCACCTTAATATTTCAGCTTGCTCACCCCACCTCTCCACTGCCCCGAGCTAGCCGTCCTGCTCACTCTTCCCTCCTAACCACTGCCTGGGCTTCGGCTCCTTGCTTGCTTACAGTAGAGTGGCTCCACCAGACCTGTTCCCAAATTACTCTGATGCAAGTGTGGAGAGTCACAAGCTCTAATTCAGTCTGGCAGCTGGGTGGTTTAACCCTACTGAGAGCAGAGCTGAGCTTGCGTGAGTAATATCTCTGTCAGCACTGCACAGCTTGTTAGGGACCAGCAGAGTGAATAGCCACTTGGAGCACTGTTAGGAGGCAAGGACTGGGCTAGTGGGGGGCTGCAGTGAGGTGCTGAGATGAAGCAGAAAGCAACTCAAGCCGAATGAACTCAAAAATTAAAGTTAACCCATCCTCCTTTCTAACAACCATCAGCTCCAGTGTGGTGATGCTGAAGCCTGGGACATAGCATCCGTCTGTGCTCTCAGGCAAGGTGAGCTGAGGGATGGTTAGGGGAGTTGAGATTTTTGTTCTGTCTTTGGTAGTCCCTGCTGGATAAACTGTGCTTAGACAGTCATGAATAAGTGATATCCTGGTGATGGAGCACTGCCTTCCCCACAGCTATTCTACAGGGAGGGAGGAGCTCTCTTCATTAAAGCAGTGTGGCCTGACAGAGGTTATCAGAGCCACCCTCTGGAAGTGAGTCTGTCTCTCCACTAGCTATAAAGGGAGCCCCAGGTGCCAAGATTTCTCACCTAGGGTGCAGTTTCACCATCTATTTAAGCACGGTTTTATTATCAGTTCTCCAAGACCATCTGCCATCCCTTCCCCATTCGTAACCACATCTGCCATCTCCTTTGGGAGAGCTCTGAGCACATACAGCTGCACACACACACACACACATAAATAAATGCATACAGAGACCTTATCAGCCATGCATTTGCTCAGATGTGAGCAGTGCTGCTGCTGCAGCCACTGACCTGACAGCAGTTACACAAGGAGGATCTAATTTAGAATGACATTTGGTTAAAATATCTGCAGGTTTTGTTCATTCGCTTTGTAAGCTCGAGGATTTTTAGTGCATCTTTTACAGATCACATTCTGCTTGTGGAAGTGAGTGCTGTGGCTGAGGATGGGGTGAGTTAGGTGTGATTCCCATTCAAAGTATTAACTAATCCTCCTTGTCTGACTTCCTACTCATCACACACATATATACGTATAGTGAACAACAGAAGGAACTAGAAACTGCCCTGTCCACTGAGAGACCGTGGGCAACAATGGGAATCATGTCTCCTTCTCAGGGAGGAACTACATGGGCAACATGCTGACCACCTACCATATGTAGACAAACCTAATCTGCTTCAGATTATGTCATCATATTGGCGTGATGGATCCCATAACATTATGGGAGTGCACAGCAGAAGGACTAGAGTCAACCAGTATGGACCCCAGGGAGGAGAACTCTGACTAGAAATAATCCCTTACTGGAAAAACCAAGCAGGTACCTGGAGCAGCAACCTTGGAGACATTCAAAGTGACCCCCTGGTTTCAGACAGACTTGCCACAAAAGAGCAGCCAGTGTTTTCTAGGCTGATTAACCCAGAAAATGGGTACCTGAGGAGGACCTGCTTTGCACTGATCTGTTAGAAAGCTCAGTCTCACTTCTGGGAATTGAATCTTTAAGAGCCATGTTCCTGCTTTACTCTGTTAGGCCAGAAAGCAGACTGACCCAGTTTGGTGCATTACAGAGGTATTTGCTCTCAGATATATGGAACAGCAGTCAGAGAGAGCCTGTTGCCTTTCCTGCAGCTTTCTTCACTCTCCCAGGGTATCTGCTCCCAGTCGAGCCCTGTGCACATGGCTTCTGGGCTGAGATCCCATAGCTGGAGTCCCAGGCAGAGGACTGCTTTGGTGCTTAGGGTGCCCAGAGACATCTCTGGTGTGAAAAAAGGCAGTGGGAGCTTCCTCAGGTAGGGATCTAGCACCTTTCTGATGGGTTCAGTGCTTCTAATGCTGGGGATTGCAGAAAAGGGCTGCATTCCCAGGGAATGAGACAAACCAGTGCTCGCATGGAATGGAACCTGTGCAGTTGGCAGTCTGTGTGGGGGAATGTAGCACCAGTCACATTGCCTGATGTGAATTACTGTGGCAACAACTACTTACAACAATTTAATGTTGCTTAAACATGGCAGAGGACCACAGGTGGGAATTACAGTGCCATTATTTTTCCTCAGACCACATGCATACTGAACATAAACTCATTTTCCCCATCACCCAGCCACACCTCACTTATCTCACCCAGCTAACAGCTCAAGGAAGTGTGGAGAAGATGCTGGTGCCAAGCAAGGTGCAACTGAAGTGTGCAGAACTTGGGTTTGAGAAGTCAGAGACCTGGGTTTCACTTAGGAAATCAGAGGATGGAATTGGGGAGAGGACGTTATTACCGACAGTGCCGGGGGTCGCAGGTCGCCGGGGGAGTCATTCCCATGTCCAGGCTCTGTCATGATGCTCCTGGCAGTGCAATGAGGGGGGAGACTTTCTGAGCCCGGTTTCTTGCCGGAGAGGCTGAGTAGCGCTGGGTACCTTCGAGCAGCGTGTGTTTACACTGACCTCTAGTGGGAACAGATCCCTCCCTCCTCGGTATTTCCCTGCAATTTTAGCCATTTTAAGTGACACATCTTAAGGGAGACTGGAGAGAGCTCAGAATTACAGATTCAGTTCTAAAATCCTTAAGAGTAAATCATAACATCAAGATTGGCCTCGTATTATATTTATTTTTTTTTTATTTCTTCTACCACTACTTGCCAGTATACTGTATATATTTTATATATGTGCATGTGCATATGTATGTATATGTATATGTATGTGTATGCATGTGTATGTGTATATATCTAAATCTAGATACCTATAGATCTATATCTATTTAAAGCCTCTGAAAAGAATGAAAGTCCCAAACCCTCATGTCCAGACAGAAAAGCTCTCTGTTAGGAAGACAGCCTGAAACAAAGCCCAAGCCTTGCTGAATGACAGAAGGCAAATAACGGGGCAGAGTGGCCAAGTTCATCTTTCAGACTTCCTGGTCAAACTGCCCAAAGGGTTAACAGAAGCACACCAAGACAGAAGAGGGGTGTCAAGGAGATGGTGCCTGAGCTGGGTATTAGCGGGTGCAGTTGTAAGGTCAGAGCAGAGAGTGGCTGGACCTGGATGCCTGAGTGGCATAGCTGATTTTAATGGGGAATGCCTGGTCTCCTGAGCTGAGCAGCAGCAGACCACTGCAACACAGCCCTGGGAGAGCACTAGCCAAGCACAAGCATGAGCTCAAAGTTCAAGGCTCACCTTAGGGATGCTGCAAGATTGCTAGCTCCAGCTAAGCTCACGTCATCAGCAGAGGAAGGACACCTCCAGGGGCTGCTGGGCAGCCAGAGGTGTCAGTGGCTTGCAGCACACTGTGAGTCCCAAGTGACGGCTCTCGAGCTGCCTCCGTGAAGAGCCGGTCCAGAGCTTATTAGCTCAGGCTCTGTGCTTTGGCTGAGCCACTCCTGAACCTGTACTACCCTGGGAGCAGGCTCCACACCTATACCCCAACCAAAACAGGACAAGATACTCAAGGGGTGACTGCCACTTTCTGCAAAGCAAGCAGCAATTAGTTCACAGTGAAGTTAAGCCTCTGTGCATCACCGCACAGGTTTGTGCTGATTTGTCCAAATGGGGTTTCTCCCAATATTTGATTTTATCCATGCAGAAGTGTATAAGGAACCATTCCATGATGGAGCCGCATCTTTAGTAACATCTAGCATGTTACTAGAGAAAATGGCAGAGAATTTTTTGTAAGGTATTTGATGGGTAACCAAGTAGCAGCTGGGTACAGAAAGCTGAATGAGAAGAAATTCTGGGTGGAGGTCAGAACTTCAGATGCACATAGAGCTGGGGTGCAACCATCACCAGGGTGTGAGAGGGAGTGACAGGAGTGGCCTATATCGCTGCCCTGCATTGGACACAGCTGATAAGATGTGGGAGAAGCTCCTTTCTCTTAGTAATTGTAGTCTCACAGCCAAGGCAGTGCCAGGGACACAGCTGGAATACTGAAGCAGATTCTCAGCGTAGGAGGAAAGCTTGTGACTGGAAGCTACTGATGCCAACAGAAACTTCCCCTGCCTGCCTCCTGCTACCCTCGCACCCCAAAACCTTTCTTCCTGCCTGGCCAGAGTCACTTTTCATGGGTAGCTCGCCTGCAGCAAGGCTGAGGTTAAAGGCCTGTGTGGGGAGAGTGACACAAATCCGAGGTGGCAGCTGCAGCATGGGAGGGGGAAGTCACTGGCGCTTTGCATGCGATTTGTGTGAAGTGGATCCCCTTCCCGACACCAAGCTCTTCCCAGGTGAGCTCCCTTGCAGGGGATCCTTCCCCTCCTGCTGGGCTGAGCTGAAAAGATGGGCACCCTGTAGAGGCAGAAAGGCATGTAAAGCAATAGGAGTGATAAGTCAAACTGAAGTGTCACCTGCATTCAGAGCTATTTAGGTATATTCTGAGGAAACCCCACTGCTTGCAACACTGTAAAGTAACTAGATGAAGTCTATGCAGATCCATGAGGAACACAACTGAATACTTTTGATGTTTGAAGGGGCACGGAAAGGCAGCCTCATCAATCATTCACAGGCAGGGACTATTGTTTGAGCTTCTATTTTCAGCTTTGATCTCTGTGTTCTGGCTGTTCTTGTGTGAGCCCCAGCAGTCCACTGTGGGCTATTTGCCACACAGAAAGGCAGTGGGAAGTGGCTGGACCAACCGACCCGTTCAGCCAACTGTAGAAACTGCCTGGCTTCTCCCTTTGCCTGTAGAGGCAGGACAGACAAGAAGTGTCTCTCTGGTTGAAACGGGTTAAACCATGCACGTGGGAAAAGCAGGCGCCCCCTCGCACCTATCTCTGCTGCCTGCCAAGTGGCATCCACCGTGTCGTTGCCCACAGAGCCTGCGGCTTCAGTCAGCACCCGCTCACGTAACAGCATCCCCTCCAGCTCCCCGCCGGCTTGACGAAGCTCCTCTCCCAACGCCCAGCAGACCCGTCTGCTGTTTAAAGAACCCCGGCAAACCGGTCAGGGGAGGAGGCGGGTCTGGAGCACACCGGTGGCTCAGGGCAGCATCCTCCCTGGCGCACCTGGGCGGGTTCTCTCCCTCCCGGTGCTCCGAAGTGGGAGAGGTGAGAGGCAGCCCCCGTCTGGGGGGGCCAGGCCGGGGCGGGGCGGCAGAGGGGAAATCCCGGGCAGGCGGGGCCGGGCGCGGCTGAGTCAGGAGAAGGAGGAGCCGTGGGGCTCAGCCTCAGCGCCGCCCGCCGCTCGCTGTCTTTCCGGCCATGAGCCCCCCGGCCGTGTCGGGGCCGGGGCCGCGGCTGGCGGGCGGCGGGCGCTGAGCGATGTCGCGATCGGCGGGCGGCGGGCGCTGAGCGATGTCGCGATCGGCGGGCGGCGAGTGCCGCAAGGAGGCTGCGGGCTGGGAGGGCGAGGACGGGCAGTGCGACTCGGGCATCGAGTCGCTGCGCTCGCTGCCGGGCGGGAGGGAGACCCCCGCCGCCGCCGAGACCCCGCCCGCGGAGATCCCTCCCGGGGACACCTTTGCAGAGGCCGCCGCTGCTGAGGAGCGGCTCGACTCCAGCTACGGCTCCGGAGCCCTTCCCGAGCCCCTGCCCGCGCTGCCAGCCGCCTGCCGCGCCGAGGAGCCGCCGCCCGAGGGGCTCAGCCGGCAGCAGCTGGAAGCTCTCACCTACCTTTCGGAGGATGGAGACACGTGAGTGACCGCGGACCCTGCCCCCGGCCATCCATCCTTCCTCCATCCATCCCTGCCGGGGCGGCTTGCCCGCCCGGACCCCCCAGCCCTGGGCTTGGCTCCTCTCAGCCAGCCGGCAGCAGGGAGCCGGTGCCTAGAGATAAGCCGGGTTTATCTGCAGTGGTCCCCAGCCCTCTCCCGAGGAGCACCCGTTCTGCCGGGCTGTGAGGGACTCCATAAGCCCCTGTCCTAGTGCTGAGCATGGGTGCTGGACCCACTTTGGGAAGTAAAATTCGACTTGCTATGGGGCTGCTAGCAGCTGGAGGGGCAAATCAAGCCCCCGCTCTGTCTCTTCCCCAGACAATGCAGTGTTTCCTCCCCAGGGAAGAAGGCTTGGTTGTATGAGATAGCACATAAGCAAGAGATTGGCTATGCAGGGCAAGACCTTGAGATGGCTGTGTTAGGGCCAGAGATGCTGCTCAACCGAGCAACCCAAGAACTATTTGCTCTCAGGTGGAAATCGCCTTGCCTTACCAACCCGTCCGCACAGTGCAGCTTTCAGCACAGTTGTGACGCATGCCCTGCTACAGGGCTGCCCTCCTGAGCCTCTGTGACGGAGATGAGTGTTTCTTTGCACGAGGGGGGGCTTCCCGCATCTGTGATGCCCTCTCGAGGGCAGAGGCATCACACCAGAGTTACTTGGTTTGGCTTCTGGTAACTGTGTTCAGCTAATCACAGCTCTTTCCTGTCATGCGTTCCCTCACCAGAAGGTTTTCAGAATGAGTGCATGGGTTCACATACAGAGCATGAGCAAAGTGTGCTCACAGCTAAGAAGGGCAAAAGCTTTGCTCCAGACCCAGGTTGGACTTTAATACCAAGTAGTGGCGCAAGAGGAAGAGAAACTGAGAGGCACTGGCACAAGCAAGCAAATGTCCTCAGTAGAGGGAGCAGCAAGGAGGCTCTGTCCTTGCCTGGCAGAGCACATTGGTTCTGAGGCTGAAGATGAGCTGGGAGCCAGCTGGAGTGTTTACTTCCCGGTTAGGAAGGAGCCTGTGCATCTGCTAATTAGTTCATTAATGCTTGCTGGGGGATCTGCTCCCAGGATTGGCTGGAAGTCTCACAGCAAGCAAGGTTATCCTAAACCAGCCTCCCACACTCCCCAGTCAGGCGCCTGGATGATGCTTCCTAGTCCTGGCCTGTTTGCAGGCTGGCTCTGGGGCTCCTCTGAGTGGAGGAGCTTCACTACCTTTTCCAACTGTAATACTAGAGCCAAGGTGCCCACAGGGAGACCCAGGAGTCATTTAAACTGTGGAAGACCAGCTCCCCGGGCTCATCTGTCACACAGTGCCCAGGGCTCCCTGCTTGCTGTTCTTTGGTGAACCTGATATATCTGGCTGCTTGGAGATGCTTTGGGTGCTTGGGGCTGTTCTGTAAGGTGGCTGAGCCCTTTGCTTGTCAGATATGCTTGGAGAGACCTAACACAAGCATCTCAACTAGGAAAACATTAATCAGTGATGCCTTGGTTACTGTAGGCAGGAGAGGCTCTTGGAGAGCTCTCCAAATGGTTGCAGTTGCTCTTCTGTTTTCTCTCACTCACAGTTCAGAACAGGAAATCAGTAAAGAGTGAGGGAAGGAGTGAAAAGTCAGCTGGTGATGCAGCTCATAGAGCTCTGGGCAGGCCGTGTCTGTGTCAGAGCTGGCTTTCTTGGGATCTGCTCCGAGCACTGTGAAAAAAACCCTATTCTTGTGGTTAGAGTGGCTGTGGATTTCTGCCTCTGCTATTGCTGTCTCTCTTCCTGACCCTGTGGCAGAGGTAGGCGGCTTTTATATTTAGAAATGCTGAACATCCACCACTGGGTTGATGCAAAGGGGACTGAGAACACCCAGCAACTCATTGAGCTGCCTCCGGTTCTATATGCAAAACCAAGTTGGGGCTGCTAGTAATGCTGAAGTCTGTGGAGCAGTTGCTCATCCGGTGACAGAAAGTCCCCAGAGAAAAGGGATCAAATGGCTTCAGGCTGCATCCCTTACATCCACCCAGACGAACCCATCAACTTCTTTTCATCTCTTGCCAGTGGCGCATTTCCTTGTGTGCCTTGCTTTAATATCTGCCACAAAACAGCTCCAGGCTGAGAAAATATCATTGTATTTCAGGAGACTTGGGCAACAATGCTTTCCTGTAGCTGTAATTCTGAAAACACAAAAAGTTCAGGGGTTTTGGCCAAGTAGTTCCTGTTTCCCCAGATGCCCCTGCTGATACCTAGCAGAGAGGAGTCTGCACAAAGGGAGCTGGCAGAATTCTTGGCTCTCCATCTGACAAAAATCTTTGCTGTCCATAGCTGCCCCAGGCTTGCCCACCCGTGCTGCTTTGCGGTGTGCCTGTGAGCGGGCTGTGTTTGTCAGCCCAGTGCTTGTTGGGGAAGTATGGGAGGCAGAGGAGCATGTGCTCAGGTGGTTGGAGCATCAGCGGGATCCTCCTTGGAAACCTTCCTGCCTGCCTCTGTGGGAGAGGAGCGTTAACCCAGGCAGGGTGAAGCAATGGGGCTAAAACGGGCTCTTCCTGTGCTCAAAATTAGAAGGGGTCCTGTTTCTGCAGGAAGGAAATTGGCTAACAAGGGAGATGAGGGGGGTGATGGCCAGTGAAACGTGTGGGTGCCATCTTCCAACAATCATCTGCCCAAGTGTCAGCTCACCTCCCGCCTGCCCAGTGCTGCTGGCAGTCCCTCTGCCTCGGGGAAGTCAGAGCTGCAGTAGTTGGGCACCAGCACCCCAAGAGAGAGCAGCAGAGCTGGCGTGGCAGGAGAGATTAGGGATGAGGAATGGGGTGAGAGGCAGAAGATGGTGGGCACACTTACGGAGGTGATACATATCCTGCTTATTCTGTGACTGGGTAGAGAACAAGGCCTGTGAGCTCAAGCACAAGCAGTTTCCTCCAAGCATCCATCTTTTCCTTGAGAAGCAAGTGGTCTCCTCCAAGCAGCCATCTCTTCCATGTAAACCAGCTCCTTTTCTGCTGAATGGAGTCCCAGTGGGACTGCTCCATGTGGAAGTGAAGAGAGAGGCTTTCCAGCATGCAGTCGTGGCTAGTTCTGACCAGGCTGCAGGCAGCTATACTGCTGTGCCCCAGCCTCTGAACAAGATCAGCCCTTGCTAGGCTTCACTGAGGAAACTCTCTTTCCCAGCCTTGCCAGGCAGATGCATGAGTCCAGTGTCCTGGGAAAGGGGTGAGTATGGGACCAGCTCCTCTGAAATGAGATAGATCACCTATTGCATTCCAGCACATGGGAAAACAACCTTTCACTTGGGCTTATGGCAGTTCTGCCAGCTCTGGAGAGGCAGTTGATTCACCAGTGTGGGAAATTAGGCAGAGCTTTCCACTCTCTAGGACTACATATTCTGTCTTAAACTTCAAAACATGTTTTCCTTTCTGCCCAGGTTGGTCCTTGGGCCATGTGCTAGTTTATGCCATCAGTACCTGATGCATGGTGATGGCCCCCTTGGCAGCTGGTAGCGTGTGTAGTCTTGCTCTGAGCTATCTGACTGTGCCATGCTGCAGAAGGCTGAAGGCTATGCCTCTGCAGGAGGGTGGCTGTCTTCTGCATGGGGATCCATATGCAAAGGGCCAAGGTTCCTCTGTGGGGCTGAAGGTCGGGGGACCCCAGCTCAGTCATGAGAGAGAGACCTTGGCCTTTTTCAGATGGAAAATGGGACCGAGCGGTTTTGGTTGGGTGCATGTTTTGGGGAGGGAGGGGAGCAGAGGAAGCCTGACTTCCTCCTTCCACCAGAGACAAGTGCTGGCCTGTCTGCTGTTAAGAAATCACGTGCCAGTGACTCGTGGGCTGAGATGCCTTAACAAGGGCTTAGGGGACAGTTAATCGAGTAAAATTGGGGCCCCCTGGGAGCTGATGTTCTGAGCTCTCCTCCACCATGATGGTAGGGAAGTGGTCTTCCCCACTGAGCCCTTCCCTGCATGGGTAGGCACCTTGTGGGGCCAGGAGCTGCTTCTCAGCATTCAACACCGTGTGCCAGTCATAATCCTCCCACCTCATGTAGCTCTGTGCTAGAGGTCTTCCTTGTGCAGGAGAACAGAGGTTGACCCATCCAGGCTGCCCGCTCGATGCTTGCCCTGCTGAACACTGGTGTTGCTGAACCCCTGGATCCCAGTGTGTGTGACAGTGAAGGAAAACCCCTGTGAAAGAAGCAGAGAGCTGGAGAGACACAGTTTCAGGAATGAGTAAGAAAAGATGGATGCAGAGAACAAACCTGGTTGCTGTTTGGGCTGGGAGTCCCTTGGGCTGTTGCTGGCTGCCCAGCAGTCAGATGGCTGTGGTTAGTGGGAAGCAGGGATGCTCTTGTTTTTTCCAGAGGGCCTTTGGAAATCTCCTTTGCCCAGTTGCCAAGGAAATTCAAGTCTGTCACGCATTGCTCCCTAGCACACTGCTGTTGTAGGGCAGAAAAGAGAATGAGTCCTAATGTGGGGCGGGCCAGAGGGACAGGGGAACCTCCTGCGTCCAGCTCCCTCTTCCTGAACTCTCAGCTCTTCCTCTGTACATGCTCCAGAGTTTGGGGAGCAGGAGAGGGTACAGGCTCCTTCAGGATGCCCCAGAAGCTGCTGGCTGCTGCAGGGATCACATATACAGCCTTGGTGTAAGGTGGGTAAGTTCTGGCACAGCCTTCTGAGAGCATGCAGGCACAGAGGTTTTTTCCCCCATTTTGGGTGACTTCAGCCTGGCCTGGAGGAAGTTTCTTCACACTTTCCACCTGCCTTGGTTTGCCTTGGAGCTGGGGAGAGGCACAGGGAACTTCAGCACAGAGGAAGGGAAGGAATGACTGGAAATTTCCATGTCCTGGGATGCAGAAGCCTGCTGCCTGGCTGTAACGGATCAGTTGAGGGGGGAAGGGCTTCAGGTCCTTGCACTCCACAGGCAGGCTTAGCTGCTGCTGGGAAAGGGTTGAGCTCAGCTAAATTAACACAGAGTTTGATTTTTGTTGGCTTGTGGGTTTTTTTAATACAATGTGGATAAAAGGAGTCAGATGTGACTGTGCAGGAAGAGAGGCCATGGGGTCTGAGCTGTGAAAGTGGTTACTGGGCACCTCTCAATGAGCTCCATGTGATACTCTGTGCATCTGGGAGGTGGGAAGCCCCTTTGATGGGGCAGATGCAGGGCTGAGGAGGACCTGAGATATCCTAGACCCACTGCTGGTCTCATTAGAAGAAAATCCTGAGGCAGTGAGGATACTTGAGAGGCTGTAGATGATTCCTGGGCTGTGTTGTACAGGCCCTGGCAAAGTCCAGGCACTGTCCTCTTCCAAGAGGCTGTTCTGACTTCAAGATCTCTGTGTGTACAGAAGCTGTAGGAGAATGTATTTGCCTCCTGATGAGCGAGAATGGGAATTTGCTCCATTTAAAAGGTCCATTGGCTGTGGCATTTTGGGATGTTTGCTGCTTCTATTGCAATTGCTCATCTTGCTTCTCAGCCATGACCCTCTGGGGTGGGCTGGCCTGCTTTCTGGCTGGGCCCATCCCTGCAGTGATGGTAGTGTGGGCCAGACCCCTGTATTGCAGGGAGCAGTCCTCATGCATCTGATGTTTAGTGCTTGTGCAATCCTGGACACACCATCTGCTCAGAAACTGAGAAGAATGCTCATATGTGTGGGTGCAGAGGCTAGAGCATATGAGGCCAGGGGTGCCGTACGTGGGTGAACAGGGGCACCTTCATCTCCCCACCTCACTGGAAAACAAGACGCCCGCAGCCCTCTTGCAGTGCCTCCCCTACCAGGCAGCCTCCAGCACCCCTCATCGCCAGCAGCCACACCAGACCCTCTGCAGAGCACCACAGGAAAGCTGGAGTCTGGCTCCCCTGCTCCATCAGTTCCCAGCTCTCTCTTTGGTCCCAATTAGCAGCAGCCTTCCTCCCCGCTCCCCCAGGGAAAGGGAAAGGAAACCTACGCAACAGGAGACCCAGGGCTGGAGCAGAGGGTATGGGGATGAGCCTACAGCTGGCTGGGATTCGCTGCTCCCTTGGAGCTGCCGGAGGGCAGCTGGAACAGCTTTTTGGAGCAGGGCAGCATTGCATCGGTATGCAGGGAGGAAGGGAGCCAGGCTGGGCTGGCAGAGGGCTGCAGGGCAGGATGGGGCTGTGCTGGCTGAGTCTGCTGGCAGAGGTTCATGCTGATGGCTGAGGAAGCGGTTAGCAGTGCAGGTTACAGGGCTGCAACAGGAGAGCAGGGTAAGTATGGAATTCCCCTGCTGTTTTCCTCCTCCCTTGCTCTCCATAATGTTGCTGCTGGGGCCATTTCCTCTTCCGAACAAGTTTTTCATGTGTTTTGTTTGCATGATTTCCCACTGCTCCACTCAGCCAAAATGAGGAGCTGGGAGTGAACTATTCCTGCTGCAGACAGGGATCTTATCTAGGAGAAAAATGTAGAAAGAGAAAATACTAGAAAAAAAAGCTAATTCTACTGAATGCTGGAGCCCTTGTCCTAGGTGATTCTGGGGTTAGTGAAGGGAGAGACTTCTGAGGGCAAGGTGTCTTGTTCTGCACATGGCTGGGATCTGCATGGTCTGCCCCTTTTCTGGAGGGAGAGGAGAGGATAGCTGGAGATCTGCTGGGACTTCCTCAGTTCTGCCTGTGTGTCCAAGCTGGTGGCACCCTTACCCCATTCTCCTGCCTCCAGTCCTCAGGTGTGGACAGTTTTCCTACCAGGCACTTAAGGTCACTCAGAAGCTTGGGAGATGGACAGCACTATGGAAATGGATGATTTCCTGTGCCTGAACTAGGACTGCCTTGGGCACGGCGTGCTCAGACCTGGGGACATCCTCTCTGCTCCAGCATCATTATCTCTCTGATGATGGGCAGATCACCTTGTGCCAGGGATGCCCTGTGCCTTTGCAATTCAGAGCACTAATGAGACCGCTTGTGCCAGGATGGAGCTGGTGAGCAAGTGGCAAAGCTGAGAGCAAGCCCAGCAGTCTGTGCTCTTAGGCTGACCACATTTCCCTTGCCCACAGCTCCTCCATCCGCAGCCCTTTCCAAATTCATGTTTGCCCTTTCCAAAAGTCGCCGCCGGGCACCCACCCCACAGCTGCAGGCAGGAGCATGGGGAAGCTGGCAAGCAGAGAAGGCAGAGGTGTGCAGGCAGCTGAGAGAGGGTCTGAGCATGGAGGGGTGGAGGGTTTATTCTGGCAAAGGCACGTGGCTGGGTGAGGAGCGGTGCCTGGCAGTGAGCAGGTATCTCTCCATCACTGTGCCCTGGCTCTGAGGCTCAGCTGTGAGCACTGTGCGCCTGCATGCAGCAGCCTGTCAGCAGCTGGACCGCACGCTGCCATGGCAGAGAGATGTGTGCATGTAGCCTTGGCCGGAAGAAAGTGGAGATTGGCATGATGCCTGCACCTCAGGTCTCCCAGGGGCAAGAGGTTTCCTGGGTTAGCTGGAGGCAATCCTGATTCCGGGTTGATATCAACAGCCTGTGGCACAGAGTGCACATGTGCTCTTGGTGCGCTCATTCCAGGTGTCCTCACCATGATTCCAAGTAGTTCACGGCTCTTGCAGCCATTTCAGGAAGTTGAGGGCTGTCACTTAAGAGGGGGGAACGAATGCAGAAATGAAAGCACAGGAGGAGGCTGCACCCGGGCAGAGAATGAAGAGGGAAGGGTGAAAGCAATCCTTTGAAGCAGGCACATCCCAGCTTTGGGGTGAAAGCCTGAGCTCTGGGTGGCTGGGGATGCTCAACCCCATTGCCTCCACAGCACAGATCCCAGACTTGCTCAGCCCTGAGTGCCTGCCGCGTTGTTGAGCGGCAAAGGCACCCAAGCCAGGAAGAGCTGCCTGGGGTTTCCATGTCCCCTGGTTGACTGCCCCACTTCTCCCCATGTGATGGCGTCATGTGCTGTGGGTAGTGGCAGAGGGGCTGGGGGATTCCTGGGCAGGTTGGGGCTGGCTGTGGTGGGGGGGGACCCCAGGCTCTGCTCTTTCCCCCAGGAGCCCAGCACTGCTCTGGGAATTGAAAGCAGTGGAGGTTTAAAGTTCAAGGCCAGTTGCCTTGTGAAGTCCCCTGACTGAGCGGTTGTATCTCTTCTGTACCTGAAAAAAGCAGATCCTGTGGCCTTCTGCATGTGGTGCCTGGGAATGAGTGTGAAGAAACAGGGGCTGTCCCTGCAAGCGGGCAAAGGACACCTTGGTGCAGGTGCCACCATGGGGACCAGAGACCTGATGCAAAGCCCACAGAGAATCTCCCTGCCTGGATCATACCCAGGCAACAGCCTGGCAACGGGAGGGGTGTTCTTAGAGCTGTTTCTGCAGCTCTGCCCCTTGCTCTTGCCCTGTGCTACCCTGGCCTGGGCCCCTTGGCTGTGCCTCTGCCCCTGCCCATGGAGCTGCTCTGCCCTGGCTCACAGCCCCCTCCCCTGCCCCGGGAGCACTGACAGTGGGGATGCACCCTGTGGTGGTGCAGTGGCAAATGTGAGTGGCCTCTCCTTCCATTGGGGAGTTCCCTGCTGCAGCATGACCCGGGGCTTCCCCAGGGACAAAGCCTCTCCTGCTGGCCACAGCTTTTCCCCATGATGGCAGAGCGAAGAGGAACCAGCATTGTTTTATCACCAAAAATGGGGCTTAACTCTTGGGGACTGGCCTCTGGGTTTCTCAGCACACTCATGTCCCCTGGCAGCTGGCGAGAAGGCAGCCCCACTTCTTCACTGCAGCACCTTGGGGCCAGGTCTTGCCCTCCTGCCTGTGAGGGATGCTGTCCGTCTCTCACTGCAGGTGCCATCCCAGAGCTGGGCTGTATGGTGAGCAGGGTGTTTTGCTGGGGCTGGCACAGCTCTTGCCCTCTGTCCATCAGCCTTGTTTGCCTTCACCAAGCAGCATGAGTGGCAGGAGCCTGCTTAGAGCCTGGGTTTCACTTTGGAGCTGACATCTGACAGAGATAAAAGCCACCCAGCGCAGTGGTGACAGTGGCTGGGACTGGTCCCTCCTTCCAAGGAGGCCTGGGAGTGCAGCAGGTCATCGGAGGGGACTGGAAATTCCCTCTTGGCTCTGCCTCTGTTGCAGTCTCACTTCTGAGTGCACAGCGGCTGGCGTCCCGCCCGGCTGGAAACAAAGCCTTTCCTTGGGCTGGGGGACTCCAGGCTGCCTGGCCACCCCATGGCTGTGGGGACCATGGTCCTGAGGAGCAGGACTGTGTGCTGGCCACCCAGCTCTGATGGCCCCAGTGTCCCTGTGCACTCTCCGCCTCCATGCCAGCACTGCTGCGGTAGGGCTGGAAGGGAAGGATATGGGGTAGAGAAGAGGAAATCGGTGTGGGCTGGCAGCGTGGCTGGCATGGGGACTGTACCCTGCAGGTGATCTTGGACGGGTGCTGGGCTCCTGCCCAGTGTTGGCTGTGTGCCTGCACGAGGGGAAAGCGGAAGCGTGGCTCGCAGCTGGCAGCAGGTTACTGGAATTCCCCAGGCAGCAGCCAGAGCCCATATCTCCCTCTGCAGCTGCCAAACCCAGCTGCCAAACCCTTAGGCTCTGGGAAACACATCCTAGGCTTTTCAGACCTGCACCAGTTGGAGGCCTGGCTTTGCCCAGTGCTGAGTCTAAGCCCTGTGCATGCTGTGAGGTGTGAGGGAGGACTCAGCATGAACAAGAGGATCTGTTCCCCATGTAGATCAGAGTGAAGGACTGCCCTCAGGCCACATTCCTGTCTTGACCTGCTGCTGAGCTTCCCCAGGGAGAGGGCAGGATGGAGGAGCTCCAAGCTGGTGACAAGGGAAGGGGACTGGGGAAGGTGCGTAGATCACTCCTCCATGCAGCAGTAGAGGATATCTGCTTCTGAGCACAGTGCTTGGGACTTATTTTTCTTCCCTCCCCCCCCCCCCCCCACCCCGTTCCCTCCATAGGTTGGTTCACCTGGCCATTATCCACTGTGTCCCAGCTGTGGCACTCTGCTGTATCGCTCATCTGCCCAGGGAGGTGCTGGAGATACAAAATGATCTTTTCCAGGTATGAGGATGTGATAGACAGAAGATGGGAGGAAGGTGGGTCCTCCCTCGATAGATGCCCAATCTGTCTCCAGCCCCCCAAACCTGCTTCCTCCAGAGCATGGTGAACATCCCATGTGAGCAGCAGGGAGGGGAAGAAGGGTATGGGAGATACCCTGAGAAAGAGGTGTGACAGCTCCCAGCAGCACAGGGTGAAGGGGTCCTTTACAAGGCCTAGGACATTTCAGACGGCCCTGGAGGGTGGAGCAGGCATGGCTTGAACATGGCAGGGTAGATAACCTGGGAGAGTGAGATCTGCCCCCACGGGTGATCCGTGAGCTGAAGCCTGGGAGGGCAGCAAGCTGTTTGCACTGCCCCGGTGTTAGCCACGTTTAGTGCCGGGACAGGGATGGGCTCCTGCTTGGCAGCCTGTCCATGCCACCAGGCTGGCTCCTGTAGGCTGGTGTGTCTCATCCTGCCTGGTGTCCTGCAGGGCATTCCCCCCTTCCCTGATTTCTGTCCCCACCTCCTCTCTAGACCCCGCTGCACCTCGCCGTGTACCTGGAGCAGCCCTGTGTGATCCAGGCACTGATCCACAAGGGAGTGAACCCCGGGCTGCAGGACCGCAACGGCAACACGCCGCTGCACCTAGCCTGCGAGCAGCAGCACATGCAGTGCGCCCAGCAGCTGCTGCAGGGCACGGCCCCACCGCAGGGCACCCCACAGCCCCATGGGCACCACCACATCCTGCAGCTCCAGAACTGGCAAGGTGAGACCTGCAGGCTGCCCGGTGTGGAACCAGTGGCCGGGTTGGGGCACAGACCATGAGCTGTGTACACAGGGATCTGCGAGTGCAACAGAGTGGGCATGTGGATGGGGCTGGTATGCCTCAGGGTGGATTGGGCTGACTGTGGTTCTCTCTCCTGCCTCCCCACCCAGGCTTGGCCTGTCTGCACATCAGCACCTTGAAGGGGAACATCCCGATGATGTCTTTGCTGCTGGAGAGCGGTGCCAACATTGATGTTCGGGTAAGGCTGGGCATGATGCGATGTTTGGGCAAGGCTGAGCATGGTTCATGGCTCCCTTGAGCACTCCCTCCAGCTTCAGGGCAGGCGCTGCTGTGAGAATGGGAGGCACTGGATTCTGGGGGAGCAGAAAGAAAAGGTCCTTGAGGGGCTGTTTGGGTGCTGTGACAGCAGTCAGGGTGAGGACTGCCTCCTCTGCACCCTGTGAAGGGGGTGCTATGGGACCCCTCGGAGGGGACCCTGTACTCACACCTCTGTGGTCTGTGGGTTGCAGGAGGGCACAAGCGGGAAGACCCCATTGCACTTGGCCGTGGAGTGCCACAACCACAGGGCTGTGCAGTTCCTGCTGCACAATGGGGCGTACGTGGACGCGCAGATGTACAATGGGTGCACCCCGCTCCACCTCGCTGTGGGCCGTAAGGATGCTGCCATCGCTGCCATGCTCTCGCACTGTGGGGCTGACACCCTGCTGAGGAACATGGAGAATGAGACAGCCCAGGACCTCGCTGATGGCAACGATGATGTGAGTCCGTGTGTGGGGAGGCCTGTGCCTCTGCAAGTGTGTTAGGGGGGAAGCTCCTCAGAGGAGTTTCTAGTTGTGCCTGTCCTCCCTTATAGGCTGCAGGCAATGGCTCGGGGGTGCCTGGGGTGGCTGCCTGTTGCCTCAAGCCCTGGGGAATGTCCATAAGGGGTTTCCTGGCACTTCCCCAGTGAGGTGGGAGGCTTTAGGACTTGAGGGGGGGACTTAGGTCTGGGCCCCTACCCCAGCTCTATGGACACACCACCTTAGATCTTTATACATCCACACCTTGGCCTTTGCAGCTCCTCGCCTTGCTGCCCTTCGATGACCTGAAGATCTCAGGGAAGCCTGTGGTGTGCTCTGAATGAGCGGCTGGACTCCTTTGGTCTGTTGGGCTGCCTCCTTGCTCTGCACTGCTGCCTGCTGGGACCTTGCCTGCCTGCAGTTCAGTGGGAGCAGCACCACTGTGGGACACCTATCACACCCTCTCCTCTTTGGAAAAGTTTTGTTGTCCTCAGGCTGCCTTCCCAGAGGGAAGAAGGCAGCACTATGAGCACTACACAGGGGAGGCATTTCCTTGAGTATTTGTGCCCAGCAGCAGGACTGAACAAGGGTCTCTAGCTTACACAGGGAAGGAGCAGGAGATGACTCCTTTTCACGCTGCATGGTGGACAGAGCATCCTCTAGCATCCCCCCAAACGCCATCAGAGTAAGTGTGGGGTGAGGCGAATGAACACTCTCTAATAAACATTTGTTCTTGCTGTGGGCACCCAAGGTCTCGTGTGATCAAACCCACGCTGCTCCCCCGCAGCATCAGGAGGCTGAGCATCACCCTGGGGGCCAGGCACACGGCTGCAGGGGCTTCCCCAGCCTGCCTGCTCCCTCTGGGCCTTTGCATAGCAGAAGGTGAGTGGGAACACAGGGGCTTCCCCGCTTGCAAAGCCTTTCCAGTGCTCAAGGCTGAGGCTGGGGGATCCCAGCCTGGAGCTCTGTTCCTGTGCTGTCCTGCCGAGCATCAGGGCTGAAGAAAGAGCATAGGAGATGCTGGAAGACCAGGTTGTGGATCCTGCTTCTGCTGTTGTGTATGACATCTTGCTGCCTTCTTGTGCTGTGGTTTCCTCTTGTGCGGAGGATACAAAGATCCTGCCCCATCTCCTGGCTTGGGAGGGTGTTAAAAAACTTGGGGCATGGGTCTTCCCTGGGTTTTAGCTTCTCTCAGGCTGAGAGGGGAGGAGATGGCAGGGTTATTTCCACATCCCTGCTGATGTTCAGCTCGCTCCCCTTCCCTGCTTCCTCTCCAAGCCAGAGAAGCACATGTGAGGCATTAAGGAACCAGCAGCCAAAAGTGCTGGGGGAATGAAGACACTGAGTGTTCCTGACCCTACCTCAGCCAGCAGAATTCCCCACTTGATGCCTGGGAGCAGGGGCTATTGGTTGGGGCAAATCCTGGGTGGCACAATCGCACAAGATGCTCTGCAGTGAACAGTGTGCTGTTGTTGCCTTCCTCCCTTCGTGCAAAGACAAATAGTAAGGGAATGCTGTCAGGGAGGCAGCACAGGCTCCCTGCAGACCTCGCTGTATCTGGCCCAGTCTCCTCAGCAACCCTGGGCTGGATTGCTCTGTTTCTTTTGACTCTGCCTCTCAGCCCTGCTGCCAATGAGCCATGTTCTGCTCCTGGGCCTCAGCCAGCGCCTACCAGGAGCTGGTGCCCCATGGGGCAACCCTGGTGCCACCTTCACAGGGAATGTGGGGCACTCCTGGGAGCGATGGGTACTGCTGGGCAGTGGCATGGTGGGGCTGGGGTTGCAGCTGGTGGGAAGGGGAGGGAAAGGGCAGAAGCCTGCGATCTGCACTGGTTTTGTCATTGTTTTCAAGCGAAATGAGGGTGGGTTTTTTTGAAGATGTCTTATAAAACGTTACTGGTGTCCGCCTGAGGGCGGCAGCCGGCCCTGCAGCCTCCCCGGGCGCTGCAGGAGGCAGCGGTGTGTGCCCGGGGCCGGGCTGGGGCCGGCTCTCGGCTCTCACTGTTCTGACGGCCGGCCTGAAGCCGGGGCCTCCCGGGCCCCTCTGGCCTCTCCTCCCCCTGCTCCGCTGTTCACGGGCCGCTCCGGCCGGCAAGACCCAGCGCGGCCGGACTCTGCCGCGGCACGGCGGCGCTCCTCCGGAGCGGCAGGGGGCGCTGTGAGCCGACTCTGCGCACCCACAGGGCGGGTGTTCCGCCGCCGCTGCCGCTGCCGCCGCCGCCGGGAGCGGAGCCCAGGGGATCCGGCCGGGAGCGGGGCCGGGGCCGGGCGCAAGGTGGGTAGCGAGGCTGGGGTGGGCGCTTAGGGCGGGGCGGGCGGCGGGTGGCAGCAGTGCCCCGCTCGGCAAGGGGGCAAGGGTGGGAGAGGGCTGCCGGCCCGTTCGCTGAGGACGTGGCCGCCGAGCCGGGAGGTGTCCCCGGGGCTCCGCTCGTCCCGCGCCCAGAGGTTGTCTCTGCATGGGCTCACGGGGCCGGAATCCCGTACGCCTCTTCCTTGCCGGGCACTCCCGGGGCCCGGCCCGCCGCTGGGGAGCCCCTGGGAGCGGCCGGCGGGGATCGGCAGCCCGGCGGCCGCGGCAGGGTACCCCTGCTGCCCGGCGCTGTGAGTGGGGGCCGTGGGCTTCCACGCTCTAGGCTTGCGTTTGGGCTGAGCCCTTCGAGGCGCTGGAGTTGAGCTCCTGAGGAGCGGGGCTGCAGGCAGGGAGTGCATTCAGACCTCTGGCCCGGGACCCAGACTGCACCGCAGGCAGAGGGCTGTGGCCCAGGCCGGCGCCGAAGCGGTGCGTTCGAGCACTGCCCCTCCTGTGCCGAGGGGAACAGTACCCGAGTCTGTTGTCTCGGCTCCCTGGCTGCAGACTGAGGCTCCTTTCATGCCTCAGAGTGCCGCCTGCTTGCCGTGCGCGGCCCACTCCCCCCGCTTTCTACCTGTAACACTGGCGTCCCTGTTCCTTCCCAGCCTCGGTGGGGAGGGCAGCCCTGCTGCACTGAGTCATCTCTCGGGGCCTGGGAATTGCTAGCGCAGGCATAGAGAGAGCCATTGTCCCTTATAGCCTCCTCTTCACTGTCGCTGTGGGAGAGCAGAGCTGGTTCTCCTCCCATGGCCACGCTGAGGGGGCCGGCGGGGTAACAGCAGGCGCAGTCGTGCTGAGCAAAGCTGGCTGGCTTTCAGTCCCTGTCAGGTTGAAGGGAGTCGTGGCCCATGGTAGCAACCGATCCTGTCATTATGTCTGACTTCTGCAAAAGCAAACGGCGTTTCTGCACCCTCTGCACAACAAGAGGGCTGCTGCCATCAACCAGCGTTACTTAATACAGGCAAACCCAGCAGCATGTGGGCAGCCTCAGCGCCAGGTGTCTGCACCCAACCCTGTTGTTGCATTCTGCAGTGATGCCCCTGCAGCAGGAGAGATGATGGGTGGAGGTGTCAATCTGCCTTTTCTGCGGGGGAGAGCAGGGGGAGGGATTGGAAGCAGGCACAAAAACCCACCCACAGCTGTTTGTACTTCTCCACAGGCTGGGAATTTCTGGGTCCTTAAGTCAGAGAAGGGAGATTTCAGGGTGAAACACGAGCCTCAGCTTAGGTCAGGTTGTTGGGCTCTGGGAGCCTGGCCACAGCAACTGAGGATAAGAAAAGCCCCTGAGGCCTTTCCTAAGGTGACGGGGGGGGGGGTTATGGGGAGGACTTGTACATGAAATGATGGGGGACTTTCTTGCCTTTAAAGTTCTGAGTTTCTTCGTCTGTGAGTTTCATGTGGGGGCTAGCATATTTCACAGCACTATTGTACTGGGGCCAGGTACACCCCTAAACTGGGCCTAAATTCTTTACTTGCTTGTTTTTGGGGGAGAGGGGATTAACATCTCTGGCCCTTTTCTGTCACAGGAGCTCAGTGTCTTCTGGTGTGTGTTTATGTAGCCAGCTCCACAGCACCCTCACCTGGCCCTCAAGGTGATCTGGAGGCTTTCTCTACTGAGAAAATTGGGGCAGGGATGGAGCATGGACCAAGGAAACCTCACACCCTGATGCAGGAAGCAGCAGATTGCTTTGCAAGGTGGGGGGATGCACATGTGGCCTTGGGTGTAGGAACTTCTTGCCTGCTTGCTCATTCTGTTGTGTACTTGGTGCTCTTGTTCTTTGTGTGGCCCCTGAATATCACAGCCTCTGTGAGGGAGGAACTCCTTCAGGGAGTTTTAAAGCTGACTAGGTCACCTGCTAGGGCTGTATCTGAAGAATATCAGCTATGCCTTATCAGATAGTCCTGGTAAAATCCCAACCAGGCAGCTGGCAGGAAAGCTCTTTCCCAGCCTTGCTCTCTGGCTGTGTCCTGCTGCGTGGGTGACCCTGGTAGTTTCCTCTGGGCTGTGGGGAATACCTTGGCACGATCTCTGCCAGGGCTGCATGAGGTGGTGGGGGAGGCTGACAGCCTGAGCCCTCCCTGCTCTCCTCCACTCACCTGCACAGCCAGAGGGGAAAGCTCTGAGCTGATTGCTCTCAGGAAGGCAGCTCTGGCCACAGGCTTGAAACACGAGCTGTAGGTAGGAGTCACTTTTTCCATTCAATGACCTTTACTTTTTTTCCAGCTGGGAGCTGTGCTAAAGTTTAACCTAAAACGGCAAGGTGCAAGGTGCTTCTAGCATTTGGAGGAAGGGCGTTGTCAGAATCTGGTGGTTACAACAGTGTTCAAACAATCTCTCCAGTGCTGGAAACTGAAGTTTCCAAGTCCACGTGTTCCTAACCCAGAGCAAACACCCTTAACAGAAGCACTTATAAATGTGTGGCATATGCTCTTCAACTCCAGAGAGCATTTGCTACTCCATGTGCTGCCTTCATCACTGCTGTCGCTGGGGTAGTATTTGGGTGCTGGTGGGGAGCAGGCTGGGCAGCAGGAGGTGTGGGCATGCAGAGCTGAGCTGACCAGGTACTAGCAGCCCATCAGCTGCCTCTTTCTCTGCACAGATTTTGCCTTCCCCTTGTACTGGCTTCCCTCCCTACGATGGCTACTGGTGAAGAGATCGTCCCTGCCCTGCAGGACTCATGGGGCGACTTCTGGCTCTTCCGTTTCTTTGTTAATGCTGCTGGCTACGCGAGTATTGTGGTGCCGGGATTCCTCCTCATCCAGTACTTCAAGAGAAGGAATTACCTGGAGACAGGTAATGGCAGGAGCTTCCCTTCCACATCCTGCCTCTGAGTTCTCTGCACCCCCTTGGTCAACACTGTTCAGTGCTGACAGGCTGTTTCCCCAGCCTCCTTTGTCAGACCAGGCTTGAACAGAGATGCATCCCAGAGCTGCCTCAGTAAAGAGGGAGGCTTCACCTCTCAAGCTGATGCAGCTTGTGGTGCCCAAGGCTCTGGTTAACACTTGTCTCTGTGTTTCCCTACCCTGTTCAGGCCGAGGCATTTGCTTCCCTGTCATCAAATCGTGTGTGTTTGGCTCTGAGGTGAAGTCTGTACACCAGGAGGATGGCTCCCTGCCACCCCGAGCAGAGCCCACAGAGTCCTCTACAGCGCGACAGGTCTTCAAGCTGCTCTTCTGCGCTGCTGGTCTACAGGTAGGGGCCCCACGAGTGGCCATGCCTCTCTGGGAGGAGGGCGTGGGCAGTGGGTTTGTGGCCATCAGTTCTTTGGAAAGCAAGGATGCAAGTGCTGCCCTTGATTGGGGCAGGGTTGGAGGCTAGGGGACAGCCTCTCAACCAGGGTAGTCCACCAGAGGTGCTGTGTCACCTCTAAGGGCTGTGGAGGTCCGTTTAAACTG